GGACATCACTAATGAGGAGATGAGTGTTGAGGATAACATTCCCCATAATGTTTAGAACCTATTTATTGATTTGGCTGAGAGTATTGCAGGTAGTCTTACTATAACTAACTGCTTTGTATGTGGAGGTACTAATATGGGAGACCAATGGCCATGGGAGGCAAGAGAGGTTTGGTACCTTGGTTCTGAGACAGATGAACAACAGATGCTTTCTCAGTCTGATCATTAAGTAAGTACTAGAGATAAATCAGAATGGCGTTTAAAAACATCTATCATAGGCCATGTAGTGCAGAATTATTTAGGCAAGTTGTATTTTTGAGGATTAATTTTATTATTGAACAACAACCATGTTCTCAATGAACCCAAAAAACTCATTAATATCAAAGCTGAATATTTTTGGAAGTAGTTTTTAGTTTGTTTTTAGTTATAGCTATGTTAGAGGGATATCTGTGTGTGCAGGTGACTATTACTGTGCATAATTATTAGGCAACTTAACAAAAACAAATATATACCCATTTCAATTATTTATTATTACCAGTGAAACCAATATAACATCTCAACATTCACAAATATACATTTCTGACATTCAAAAACAAAACAAAAACAAATCAGTGACCAATATAGCCACCTTTCTTTGCAAGGACACTCAAAAGCCTGCCATCCATGGATTCTGTCAGTGTTTTGATCTGTTCACCATCAACATTGCGTGCAGCAGCAACCACAGCCTCCCAGACACTGTTCAGAGAGGTGTACTGTTTTCCCTCCTTGTAAATCTCACATTTGATGATGGACCACAGGTTCTCAATGGGGTTCAGATCAGGTGAACAAGGAGGCCATGTCATTAGATTTTCTTCTTTTATACCCTTTCTTGCCAGCCACGCTGTGGAGTACTTGGACGCGTGTGATGGAGCATTGTCCTGCATGAAAATCATGTTTTTCTTGAAGGATGCAGACTTCTTCCTGTACCACTGCTTGAAGAAGGTGTCTTCCAGGAACTGGCAGTAGGACTGGGAGTTGAGCTTGACTCCATCCTCAACCTGAAAAGGCCCCACAAGCTCATCTTTGATGATACCAGCCCAAACCAGTACTCCACCTCCACCTTGCTGGCGTCTGAGTCGGACTGGAGCTCTCTGCCCTTTACCAATCCAGCCACGGGCCCATCCATCTGGCCCATCAAGACTCACTCTCATTTCATCAGTCCATAAAACCTTAGAAAAATCAGTCTTGAGATATTTCTTGGCCCAGTCTTGACGTTTCAGCTTGTGTGTCTTGTTCAGTGGTGGTCGTCTTTCAGCCTTTCTTACCTTGGCCATGTCTCTGAGTATTGCACACCTTGTGCTTTTGGGCACTCCAGTAATGTTGCAGCTCTGAAATATGGCCAAACTGGTGGCAAGTGGCATCGTGGCAGCTGCACGCTTGACTTTTCTCAGTTCATGGGCAGTTATTTTGCGCCTTGGTTTTTCCACACGCTTCTTGCGACCCTGTTGACTATTTTGAATGAAACGCTTGATTGTTCGATGATCACGCTTCAGAAGCTTTGCAATTTTAAGAGTGCTGCATCCCTCTGCAAGATATCTCACTATTTTTGACTTTTCTGAGCCTGTCAAGTCCTTCTTTTGACCCATTTTGCCAAAGGAAAGGAAGTTGCCTAATAATTATGCACACCTGATATAGGGTGTTGATGTCATTAGACCACACCCCTTCTCATTACAGAGATGCACATCACCTAATATGCTTAATTGGTAGTAGGCTTTCGAGCCTATACAGCTTGGAGTAAGACAACATGCATAAAGAGGATGATGTGGTCAAAATACTCATTTGCCTAATAATTCTGCACTCCCTGTATGTTTAGCTAGAAGAGGGCCACTGTATAATACATCTGTTGGAGAGTTAACCTGCTTAGGACAGAAAGCCTATAATGCTGATACAAAAGATACTACTTGGTGGTCAGCTTCAAATGTCTCGGAACCTACTAATCCTTTTGCTAATTACACCAATTTAAAAGAGGTATGGTGTGACTTATCTGCTACATCCAGTTGGAAAACCCCAGCGAATTTGTACTGGATCTGTGGTAAGAAAGCATATTCAGAGTTTACACAAGATTGGGAGGGAGCATGTGTACTAGGTACGCTCAAACCATTCTTCTTCTTGTTGCCAATTGAAACATGAGAGACCTTGGGAGTTAAGGTTTATGATGTGAATCATAAAAAGAAGCGAGCTTCATTGAATATAGGTAGTTGGGTAGATGAGTGGCCTCCCCAACATATCATAAATTACTATGGACCTGCTACCTGGGCTGAAGATGGTACTTATGGATCTAAAACCCCAATATATATGCTCAACCATATTATAAGACTACAGGCGGTGGTTGAGATCATAACCAACGAGACAGCAGAAGCCCTCAACCTCTTAGCTAAGCAGAATACCCGAATGAGCTCCGCCATTTACCAAAAATAGGCTAGCCCTTGATTATTTATTAGCAGTACAGGGAGGTGTATGCGGAAAGTTTAATCTTAGCAACTGTTGTTTGCACATAGATGACGAAGGGCGGGCAGTGGCTGAACTTACAAGCCACATGGTTAAACTGACGCATGTACCGACCGTCTGGAATGGGTATAATCCTAGTAGTTGGTTTGGAAGTTGGTATGAGCAGCTTGGAGGGATTAAGGCGTTAGTAAGAGGAGTAATATTCATTACATTCTTATGTCTCTTTCTGCCCTGCCTAATTCCATTAGTGGTCAGATCTATACGTAGTATCATAGAGAGTACTATAGAAAGAAAGAAAGCTGCTCATGTAATGGCTGTCTGGAAGTATGAACCTCTAGCCCAGAGAGAGAATAATCAGGATGAGGAATGTTGAGAGAGCATGAAGTTCAGTTAGAATGATAACAAGGTCTGTTCTGGTCCATGGCTACTTGAGTGGTGTTGGCAAATTATGGTTAGTGATGCATCTTGTATAACTTTGTATCAGAGGCATCAAAGGGGGGAATGTGATGGGATTCCAGCATGGTCAAAATTTATTAGGCCGAAATCTCCACATGGCATATGCTAATTAGTATCTGATTACAAACAGTTGGATGAGTCATCAGTATACTGAGCATGTGTGGAAGTGGATAGTACATTCCTTTGTCTGTAAATGCCATGTGGTCTGCCCATATAAGGTGATCCTGAATATCCTGTGTGCTGATTGGTCTGAGGAATATAGGAGGGATTATACTGTATGGGCGGGGATATGCTGCTATCAAAAGGCTTCTGCACCATGCTTTCTGCCTCTCAGATATTTTTGGAACAGGAGTTCATCTGAGACCCGATCGGTGTGTAAATAAAAGACCTGTTACTTCCTGAAGACTTGTGTCCATATATCTATGTGTGGCTTCTGCGGTTTGTTCCTGTTATTCCTCCGGTAACAGCAGCATTTGCGAACTAGCAGACATCATTTAGTGATAAAAATCTGTATCACAGGCTGTAACTCTGTAATCCTTTGTATACCTCCAGGCTTTGAGGCTATTATCCAAGTCTCACAGGCTAGGCTGATGATTTCAATATAATTGTCACAGTTATGACATTTTCTGGTGAATCCGGGTATTGTTAGTTGCCCAAGTATCAGGAGTGAATCTCCTCCAGGAGGGTTTGCTAATTGGGTGCCTGTTGATCACTTACTTAATAACTGCAATAATTACAATTGCAGGGTTAAGGGGATAGGGGCACCGCACCCAGACCACGCCATTGAGATTAAGTAGTCTTGGTGCCTATAGCATCCCTTTAAAGGACCGCTATAGCCACCCAGACCACTTCACCTTAATTAAGTGATCTGGGTGCCAGGTCCATCTGGGTTTAATCCTTTCTGCTGTAAACATAGCAGTTTCAGAGAAACTGCTATGTTTACCTATGGGTTAATCCAGCCTCTAGTGGCTGTCTCATTGACAGCCGCTAGAGGCGCTTCCGTGCTTCTCACTGTGATTTTCACAGTGAGAAGACGCCAGCGTCCATAGGAAAGCATTGAGAATGCTTTCCTATGGACTGGCTGAATGCGTGCCTGGCTCTTGCCGCGCATGCGCATTCAGCCGATGACGGCGAAAAGGAGGAGGAGAGTTCCCTGCGCCAAGGGAGCCCGGCGGGGGAAAACAGGTAAGATTTAACCCCTTTCACCCCCTAGAGCCCGGCGGGAGGGGGCCCAGAGGGTGTGGGGGACCTAGAGACCCTATAGTGTCAGGAAAACAAGTATGTTTTCCTGGCACTATAGTGGTCCTTTAAACAAGACCTGTTCACACAAAACAAAACATTTCATTTAAGAGTACAGTGGAACCTCGGAACTTGAACTTAATCCGTTCCCGAAGGCTGTTTGAGTTGTGATGTGTCCGAGAACCGAATCAATATTATCAATAGTGTTTGTATCTATATGAGTGTCATTCTGTTTATCTGTAGGTGTGCCCGTGTGTGTATCTGCACGTGTGACAGTATGTGCTCCTGTATGTCTGTGTATTTGTATGTGTGTCTGTGCTTGTATCTGTATACGTGTCATTGTGTGTATATGTGTGCCTGTGTATCTGCATGTGTGTGTATTTGCATGTTTGTCAGTTTGTGTGTCTGTCTCTGTGTATCTCCATTTGTCTCTGTGTGTGTATTTGTGCATCTGTATGTGTGTCAGTGTGTGTCTGTGCATCTGCATGTCTGTACCTGTGTATGTGTTTATCTTTATTTGCATCATGGTGCATCTGTATCTGTGTCAGTCTGTGTGTGTGACAGTTATCCTTTAAGTTGCTAAAAGGTGCAGATAATTTATAATCTCATAAAATATGAAATTATTGGATACTCATTTCGTAACACCCAGACTCCAACATTTTCAATTTGTCGTATATAATTTACTGCAAACCAATTAGTTTGAATGACTATCTGTTCCTGTCCAAATGAAAGATAATAAAGTTGCGTGCACGCAGAAGTAAATTCACACTGAGACACAAGGTTCAGGGTAATGAAAGAACTTTAGAGAAGTTTAATGGCTTCTGACAGAAAATGGGTGCGCAGACCCTTATAAAGGCATTATTACATCATTGAAGAAAATCAAGATATAGACAAATAGACACTATTGATTGGTCCAGGTGTTAAGTGGTTAGTTAGGTACCCTCCTATCAAGAGGTGATGTCATCCTTGACACGGGAGTGGACACAAGATGTAGGCGCCATCTTGTTAGCACGAGGTGTTCACTCGATGGGAGGGGTGCTTTGGCAGCCATCCATTTAGAGCGTAGCTGGCACTTGTTAGTTTCTCAAGGTTAGGTTTCAAGGCTTTTAGTAAATACACATTTTATCAAGCTATTTCTTGCTGACATGCAAATTCTATGTTCTATAGACAAGGCTTTCTTGTAAAACTATGGGGGCCTCTTAGAGGTATTGTGGTGGAATCTCGGTAAAAATAAATTTAGTAGGCCGAGATTACCACGTGGCATGTGTACGTGCATATGCTGACGTATCGATCAGTTGGTTGCACGAGGCAAGATACGATCAGTAGTGTACGGAGCATGTGCAAGAATACAGGATGTAGTATTCCCCTCCTCCATTGTGCTGGACAAGCCATGCGGTCAAGCAGGAAGTTAATTCTTATTTGTAATGATTGGTCAAGAGAATGTGCGGGTGGAGCTTAATATGGGAGGAGTTATGTGCCTATATAGGGAGCCTGCACTATTGTTCAGGGCTCAGAACTTGCTGTATTTTTGGTGACATTAGTCCCTCTGAGTCCCGATCGGTGATCCAATAAAGAATCTCTTCCTTCCTGAAGAAACCTGTGTCCATCCCTCTGTGCTTTGCTTCCGTCAGTTTCTCCGGTATCAGTATAGCAAGAGGATTTAAAGGGGCCTTACAGATTTATAGAGGCCTAATAATTCTACAACAGTCCCCCCTAAAATGTTATTTGCTAAAAGACAAACTTTATTTGTTAGTATCAGAAGATGTGTTAGCCCAAAGACACAGAAACCCCATGACCGCTGACTTAGTGTTAATGCAAAGTGCAAGTCTATCCCTCTCTTGACCCTAACAGGCTGCAGCACATCCGTCAGTACGGTTCAGGAACACTCTTCACTCCGCTGGTAACCCATAGTGGCTTATCCACTACTTCTCCGTACGGCAGTCTACCCATAAAGACGGACGCTGTCCCTGTACTGTCCCTTCCTAGACTTTCTGCACTTCATCAGTATACGGGAGAGTTTGTAGCGGAATACAGGGTGAGATGAGGTCTTGATCATCGATTGTCAGATGAGTGAAGGTTGGTGTTGCTTGGTCTACAGTTTTCTGCAGGAATTTCCTTAGGCATGGGAGGACACAACAAATGAGAAGAGCGAGAATAAAAAGAAAAATTAGTAAGGCAATACCAATCTGGACTAAAGCTCTCTGCCAACCAGTCATCCAACCAAACCATTTTTCCCAGGGATCAGTAACTCCAGAGTTTCTCTTTAACTCTTCTGAGAGTCTATTTAATTTAGCTATGGCCAGAGTGACTTTACCATTAGGACCTGTGTTTTCTGGAATGTAAGTGCAACAAGTCATAGTGTCGGGAAGTATTTTACAGACTCCCCTTTTTTCGGCTAAGATCATGTCTAAGGCCAGTCTGTTCTGGAAGGTCATTTGGGATGTGGCCTGTAATTGCTCGGCCAAGCCCTGGAGGGCATCCCTGGTATAGTTCACGAAGCGCTGTTGGTTGTAATAGATATAATTAATCCAATTAAGGTTTTTGTTGGCAGTGACTATAGTGAACAGTGATTCAAAACCTGCAGCTACTTCATCTCTAGCTTTAAATTCATTAGGTACCCCCCTAGGCACCCCAATGGCATCTATGTAAATGTGGGGGTCAAAACTGCCTTTTACTGGGGTTTCGCGCCTTACTCTGGCTGATGTATGTGGAGGGTCGTATGTGTCATGATGATTATCAGAAATAATATGAATGGGCATGATAACTTTGGCCAGGGTACACTCACCCCACCACTCAGTTTCCAGCCTAGATCTTAACTGTAGATCCCCACATAACCAGTAAATATCCCCCAATGACCTGGTATGGTGTTGCAACAGGCGTATAGGAACAGTTCTGTAAGTGGCGCAATAACCTTTAGAAAAATTACCCATGAATTTACCAATCCCGTCATACATGGCATAACAAGTGTAATTACCTCTATAGACTGTGATTCCATCTGGTGGCTTAACATTTTCAACTAAGAGAGGGTATTCTGCCGTCCATGCCATGCAGAGGGACCTATTAAAGTCATATTGGTAGGCAAAAAGGCTTAAGAAGCAATCTTCTATCTCTAAAGGGAGAGTTAGGGGGACGGTGCCAAGGTGGGGTCGGGCACCGCCACATACATAACATGCTGTTTTATTATGTTTGTTGGCATTATACCTCATCCATTCTAACCACAAATTAATGTCATTGAATCCAGTTTCAGCGGCCATGGTATCTTCAAAAGTGGGGTTAGCGATGGCCATCATATCTTTAAAGGACTGGATATGTGGTTTTAGCGGATTTGGGACCATATGATCAGCCCCTTGCCACTCTGGAGAGTGGTACATATCTCTGAGGTAGAAATGACCTAATTTGTTGTAGGAACCTTTCTTCCAATACATTCCCATTACATATCGGTCTGCATCCTCGGGGCCAGGATGTTCAATATTTAACATTAATTTCATAGGGGTACTTCCTCCAGGCTTTCTTAAAGTCATTCTTTGAAGGAGGGATCTACCCTGATTGTCTATCTTAGATAAAGCACTTTTGGGTTTATAACCCCAGGCAGGCCCAGTATTCCATCCCGCAGCCCCCCAGTAGTTACAGTCATAACCCCATTGTTCATCTACTACACAAACGTAAGGGTCTTTTGCTTGTGGGATATCTTTATAAATGGCTTGAATCTGTGACTTAGGGAATGGGCATTCTACAATATCACAGTAATCAAAAGTGAATGTAGCCACATGGGTACATGATGAATTATACCAGAAAGTGTACCCACTAGCATCTTTGGTGATGGCCACCTGCTGGGCTTTAAGGAGGCCAACTAAGGAGATAATGTACCAGAGGCACATGGTTGCATAGAGTTAGCTTCCTCTGGGGCAGGTGTCTTCTTGCAATGGGAAGCGTGGATCCAGTTAGGCCTTCCGGCCAATTTGACAGAGGTAGGGGAGATCAGGAGAACTTGGAACGGTCCGTCAAATCTTGGTTCCAGGGTGTGTTTTCGCACAAATTTCTTGACCAGAACCCAGTCACCGGGGAGCAGACTGTGGTTGCCTGTGTCAGAATCAGGATCTGGAATTGAAGAGAAAACTTGGGCATGGATTTTGTTCAAAGCATTTGCGAGTTCAGTTACATAATCTACAAAAACATCAGTTTGAAGTTGTAGTTGTTGGGGAAAATAGCAACCTAGCCTAGGTGCAGTCCCAAATAGAATCTCATATGGGGACAGTGAGGTAGTATTTTTGTACAAGAGCATTCATTAGATCCTTTGATAAATGTGCAGGTCCGTGTGCCCATTGTACGACTGCTGGGTACAAATTCTTAGGGAGGCAGAAATTGAGGTTGTTGGAGTACACTCCATCCTTCAGAACTGCCCCTTTCTGTTTCCACTTCTGTATTTCTTCAGGGGCAACTGTAGCCTGTTGTTCCAGCAGGATTTTCAGGTCAGTTGGAAGAGTCTGCAGAGTAAATATGGGAGTTTCTTCATTTCCGGACACTCTTCTTTCCACTTCCTGTGGTTCTTTTGCAGCTTGTTTTGTAGCCTGATCAGCTAGATGGTTGCCCTTTGCTTCATCTGAGTCCAACTTCCCATGTGCTTTTATCTTCAAAATAGCCACTTCTTCTGGGAGTAGGAGGGCGTCCATCAGCTCCTTGATTGCGGAACCGTGCTTGATTGGTGTACCGGCGGTGGTAAGAAATCCTCTTGTTTTCCAAATTAATCCGAAGTCGTGAGCCACGCCCAGTGCATATCTTGAATCCGTGTAGATATTGGCGCGCTTTCCTTCAGAGATCTTGCATGCTGAAGTCAGGGCTTGCAATTCAGCTTCTTGTGCAGACATAGTTGATGGTAAAGATGATGATTTGACAATTTCATCTGTTGTGGTTACGGCATATCCTGTATGGTATCTTCCTTCTTCATCAGCATATCTTGAGCCGTCCACAAACAGGGTGAGATCGGGATCTACCAATGGGTCTTCATGTACAGTTGGTAGATGTGTTGTTTCCATTTTCATCTGTTCAAAACAGTCATGAGGTGTATCTGGGTCGTAGTCATTCACTATGGTTAAATCTTGGAACTTATTTTCCAGGAAATGACGTGGCCATGCTTTTAGGTGGTCAGTTGTTGGATATTTGACAACACCATTTTCCTGTAGCTGTGATTCGTCCATAGTGGCCCATGCTTTTGCCATAGGCCCAAGATCATTCCATGATATTGTTTTCAACTTGGTCACAGGGACATGTGGAATGGCAGTGTCCCAATGACGGTACAAATGCTTGAGTTCCGGAGGTAGATGAATCAAGACCATACAGTTGCCTTCAGAATCACAGTAGAAGTCTTGTGCAGTGAGTTTTACTTCGACCAGATGATAGAGTTCATCTTCATAGCAGGGTTCAGGAGTGATGTTTGGTTTGTACCACATGGTACAGAAGGCATATCCTGCTCCGTCATGAAGGAGTGCTTGTCCATCATGAAAGGATAGGTTGGGATGCATTTCCTTCTTGATGGTGCCAGTGAGAAGAAAAACATAAGTTTCGTCCATGATGAATCCGTAGTATACACCCCCCTCAGGGAGTGGCAGAAGAGTGGACGGATTGAGAACTTGACATCTTTGAAGGGTAATGTTGTCAGGCAACAAAAGGTGACATTGAAGGCGAAGATGCCTAACAGGAGTAACATGCTTAAGTTGGACCTGGTTGACTATGGCAGAAATGTCATGGGGGGACAACCAGGGGGTGGCCAAGGACAAGATCTCCAGTTCTTTCAATGAGCTCTCTGGCAGCAAAGACGGCCCGAAGGCAAGAGGGACGTCCTCTGGCCACAATATCCAGTTGGCAGGAGAAAAATCCAATAGGCCTTTGGCGGCCTCCAGGACCATGGGCCTGAGTGAGTACTCCTGTTGCATGGCCTTGTCTTTCAGAAACAAACAATTTGAAGGGTTTGGTATAGTCTGGTAGGCCAAGAGCAGGAGCAGAAGCAATAGCACGTTTGAGAGAACAGAAGTTATCAAGGGCTTCTGTGGACAAGCAAAATGGGTCTGACTTGAGAGCATCATAAAGAGGTTGCATAAGGAGCGAGGCTTCTGGGATCCATGCTCGGCAATAGGAAATGAGGCCTAGGAAGGCGTGTAGTGACTTTGAGGTCCTTGGAGGTGGAATGTCCAGTACTGCTCTAACTCGGTCACGAGTGAGATGTCTGGTTCCCTGAGACAGACAATGGCCAAGGAAGATAACAGTAGGTTGGCAGAATTGCAGCTTGAGACGTGAAGCTTCACATCCTTGTTCTGCTAGATAGTAAAGAAGATTAATTGAGCATTGTTCTGTTGTGGGTAGATCATCTCCACAGTAAAATGGGAAGGGAACAAAGAACTGTAGTGTCTTTTTGTGACAAAGGTGTATTTAATTGAACCTGGCCGTCTGCAGTGAGGGTGATGGATGCTTGGAGGCGGGATAGGACATCAGCACCAACACAAGAGACATCGGTGACAGGCAGGAACGATGAGTCAGGCAGGTCTTGTTCTCTAGGAACACTGCGGGATGCACCTGTGTTAACCAGGAAACCAGGAAAGTAGTAAGGTGACCTTCAATAGGTAAAGTTACAGTGGCTAGTGACCCCCCTTGTTCCCTGTAGACACTGCCATGGCAGGGGCATTAAGCATCAGCGGGTTTGCTCTCCTCTGTATGGGCTGTGTTACTGACTCAAACCCCTTTCTATGTCATTAGCTATAGCTTTTTGCAGTCTGAACATGTCTATCATTATAAATAATGGTTAATAGTAAGTGAAGTAAAGTTCCTATATGTCTTTGGATAAAACATTAACTATTGCGGTACTATCATTTATATTAATTAGACTATAACAATTATACCACCCTGTAACTAAAATGAATAACCAGTAGTGGCTGGGTTAATAAAACATGTCACAAACCCTTCTAATGCTAAACCATCATTTAAAGTAAAGGATGTTACTGTAAACATACGATCTGTAACTAGCAAGATTCGATTAAGTAAAGATACAATGTTTAAAATAACTTGCATTATTTAGCTATTTCCCTTGCTGCAAGATTAAGCTGGATAATCAGCTGTTATGCTCTTATATTCGTGTCCAACAGATCTCATTTGTAGGTCACACCACATTTGCAAATTACATTTTAGCAACCTTCTCTTTTTTTTTATATCACGGACAAATTGCTGATACAGGGAAACAAATGGCATGATTGTTTTAGTAATTATAATAATGTTTCAGTTCATAATATGTAGAGTGTAAGGAAAACAACAGGTCTCTAAATGGGACGAGCATAATAGGGGTAGGCCTCATGATGGAGGCAGCCATGACAGGGGCGGGGAAGGAAATGACAGCAAGGGAGGAAGTGAGAGGGGTGACGTCCATGATATGTGTGGGAAAGGAAGACAGGAGGTGTGGGCATGGTAAGGGCGGAAGTGACGTCACTTTAGAAGCAACCGTGACTGTAGATAGGTCACGGGACTGGCAGGGTCAACCTCCTTCTGTACTAGGCGCCATCTTTAGGGTGGTGGCTGATGCACTTTCAACAATACACTATATTATAACTATTAAAATAAGTCAGAGAAGCAACATTCTGTTCTGCAAAATGAAATACTAAACTATGAACAGACCTGGCAGGTTGAATAAGACAGTTGAGAACATTATGCATTTAACAGCCCATACAGCTGTTTCTAGAAACATGTACTTTAAAATAACTTTAAAATAATAAAATGATGCAAAATAAACTCACGGAATTCAACCAATTTCCCTTATCATCCTCTAGCCATTAATCACTTTCCTCCTCTTATACTGACTTAACATCGCATATTCCCTCTACACCTTCCTAAATCCCGTATTCAACACTGAATGCAATCTTGTGAGCTCGTCACTCCCACAATCCTCAGTACCTTATACTCTTATCAGTAAAAATGCAGGCAAGCGGGGAGGAGAGGGGGGGAGAAAGTTAGACAGTGCAAAAAAAGGGAGAGACTGCAGGCATGAAGATTAACCATGTGAGTGCTGTAAAGTAACAAGACAGAAGGACAGAGACTTATACGTTTGGAAACCAGAAATCTTTGACGGGAGAAACGGACTGGAGGTGCAGGGAGCTGCAGAGAGAGGATGAGGGTGACGAGATCTGTAGGACTGATGGGGGGGGGAGAATAGGGATCCATCAGCATCCAGTAACACAATTATTATAATACACAAACAAACTTAAACCTTTGTGATCAATATCTTCCTCAACCTATCCCTTTTGCTGAATAGCTCTTGCTACTCGGTATCAGGCTTCTGCTGTACAAACCAAATCTTGGTCCGACAGCTTCTCTTTCTTCTCTGTCAGTAACTTACGCCAGCTCTCTGGCTACAATCTGCCGCACAGAGGTACGGTAATTCCACATACTTTAGCAATCTTCCTCACTTTCTTAACCATCTCTTCTCCTTCTCTGTCTTCCACTAGATCACATGCTAACCAACCCTTACTGGGTTTATCTAACTTCTGTCCCATCCTCCCTATATAAGGCGTCCCAGATATAGAGATAGAGAGAAAAGAAGGTCTACAGTGCTCGACTGCTACTTTAAGAGCAAGCTCTTTTAAGTACGTCTTCCCAAAACGTAGACTAGTCACTGATTCCGCCCACCCGTGGTAGCCGCGGATTGGAGCGTGGCGAGAAGTGTGTGACCAATCACTTCTCTCAACAGAGAAAGAGAAATAGGAGGGGAAAGTGTAAATAGTGCAGTGAGTAAGATAGAAGTAAACACAGGAATCTGTGTGACAGACAATTAAGACAATAACATTTCAGTGTAAATACAGTGCATGCATCACAGTTCAAATAAGTTCAACAGTTTTATCCCTTGCCTTTACTCGTGTGGCCAAAAGCCACCTCCCTCAACCTCGTAGTGTCCCTGTTGCGGACCCACCCGCAAGTCTCACTACCAGCAGCCACAGGAAACAGCAACAGCTTCCAACCCGAATCCTGTATAGCCTAAAGAATTGGAATCTTACCTGCCTCAGCGCTCGAGGCTGGAATTTTACCAAGAAGCTAAGCGGTCAAAATGACACTCTGGGGAACCCCCAGGAAGCAATGAGTCTACATCATCCTCCACAGATTCCCCCTACTCTTTTTCCTTACAGCCACAGCCACGTGGCTCCTAAAAGAGTTAAACAGGCAATAGAGGACCCCCAGGAAAACTTCCACAGGTCCACCCCCCTTTTTCCTTACTACCACAGGCACGTGGTACCTAAAAGGAGTTAAACAGGCACTTACACTCCCTGGGTAGACTAAGTTAAACACATACCAATACAAACACACCCAGGCAACAGATAGTCAACATGCAGGTAAACTAGGTATCATTAACAATACAAAGACTCTGGGCAAGTTATTACCTGACTTTGATGTCCTCTCGGCAGCAGTCACAGACACTGGGATAGGTCAATCACAGGGGTAGGAACATACCGGCTAGGTGCTGCAGCAATCTCTACCGTGTATTCAGAGGTGATCAGGCTCTTTTCCTTCCCCCAGGATTCATCCCCCCCAGCGTCTTCTTGGACAGCTGCCCAGACAGGACATAGCCCAGAGCCCCACGTTGGAAGCGCCAATTTGTCGTATATAATTTACTGCAAACCAATTAGTTTGAATGACTATCTGTTCCTGTCCAAATTAAAGATAATAAAGTTGCGTGCACGCAGAAGTAAATTCACACTGAGACACAAGGTTCAGGGTAATGAAAGAACTTCAGAGAAATTTAATGGCTTCTGACAGAAAATGGGTGCGCAGACCCTTATAAAGGCATTATTACATCATTGAAGAAAATCAAGATATAGACAAATAGACACTATTGATTGGTCCAGGTGTTAAGTGGTTAGTTAGGTACCCTCCTATCAAGAGGTGATACCATCCTTGACACGGGAGTGGACACAAGATGTAGGCGCCATCTTGTTAGCACGAGGTGTTCACTCGATGGGAGGGGTGCTTTGGCAGCCATCCATTTAGAGCATAGCTGGCACTTGTTAGTTTCTCAAGGTTAGGTTTCAAGGCTTTTAGTAAATACACATTTTATCAAGCTATTTCTTGCTGACATGCAAATTCTATGTTCTATAGACAAGGCTTTCTTGTAAAACTATGGGGGCCTCTTAGAGGTATAGCAAGAGGATTTAAAGGGGCCTTACAGATTTATAGAGGCCTAATAATTCTACAACAAAATCATCCTGTTTCTTTAACCCCTTAAGGACACATGACATGTGTGATGTCATGATTCCCTTTTATTCCAGAAATGTGGTCCTTAAGGGGTTAAAGGATCACTATAGTGTCAGGAAAACAAAGCAGTTTTCCTGACACTATAGTGCCCTGAGGGTGCCCCCACCCTCAGGGTCCCCCTCCAGTGGCGCTGAAGGGGTTAAAAGCCCTTCAGCAGCTTACCTTATTCCAGCGTCGGGCTCCCTCAGTGCTGGTGACCTCTCCTCCCCCACCGACGTCAGCTCCCGAGTGGAGCGGAATGCGCATGCGCGGCAAGTGCTGCGCGTGCATTCAAGCTGTCAATAGGAAAGCATTTCTTAATGCTTTCCTATGGACGTTCTGCACGCTGGATGCGAATTTCGCATCCAGCGTCGCAGATGCGCCTCTAGCGGCTGTCAGGAAGACAGCTACTAGAGGTTGGCTTAACCCCTAATGTAAACATAGCAGTTTTCCTGAAACTGCTATGTTTACATGTGAAGGGTTAAAACCTGAGGGACCTGGCACCCAGACCACTTCATTGAGCTGAAGTGGTCTGGGTGACTATAGTGTCCCTTTAATTCTGTCCGTTGCCAGTTACAAAAATGGCCGCTGCAAGCATATCGTTCTAAACACTAGAGCTACATGCCAAATCAGTGCGCTTCTTTGGTGTTCTCTACAAAAACAGGTGTGAAAAGTCCCTAAAATAGTGCAGGCAAAAATTATTTTTACAAGGACCACTATTGCTGCCAGTGCCTATTTTACGACATGAAACCGACAGCCCTGTTAGACTGTAAGACAAAAAAAATACAAAATACAACCAATTACCCACGCAGGCGTAACGTCACTCACGCCCCGCCCATTCTGCGCCTGATGTGTATGTCCTGCGGGATGAGTCAGAGAGAGGTGGGCGGGGTTTAGGAGCACACAGAACTTTCTATTCGCATAGTGGGCGCGAGGCTGCGTAAAGTAGAGAGCGGGACTAGGTGAGCCGCGAGCGGCGGTCACTGGGACGTTATTGGAACGTCATTGGACAGGCCCTGGACCTTAACGAGCTGCACGTGTGTAACACGACTGGCTGTATAAGAAGCGATACGCGTGAATGGTAGTAGATTGTCAGTGAGGGCAGAGTGCTCTGTGTCGGGTTGTTAGGACTGGCGGGCTGGGTGGGTGCAGTGCTGGCTGTTTGTGGAATTTAGTTTCTTTGCTTAATGGATAACATCTGCCCCAGATAGGCTATCTGTGGGAATGTGATGTTTAGTATTTGTATATTAGTTCCATACGTGTGTGCTGATTTGTTCCCCTCAGCTAATAAACATCACAACTTCCCTCAAACTAAAGCTCACACTAGCAAAACGGAAGTGTGGAGGAGAGCAGAGCATCTACAGCATGAACTAACATTCTGATTGGAGCCTTTACAGACATAACCAAATACAGATAATTGAATAATTCATACGTGTATGATCATGATAACCATGTAAGAACCAAAACGTTTCTGTGACTTATTGAGCACGCACCCACTTTTATTTTGTCATTAGCATTAGAAAAACACTTCTAACGTTAAATGGACGTCCCAGGCCCCTAAAACACTTTCTAAAACGTTTTATGTGTGAAGAGTGTGTCCTATATTTTTTTCCATTTTACAAAAAGTGCAGATTTCAATACAAAACAGACACTTATAAATCAACCTGATTACAATCCACTTGCTGGCAATCAGACAATTGGTCATGTCAAGTCCTGGTTTAGTTAGCTCAGTAGAGGTAAACTTAAAGGGACACTATAGTCACCTGAACAACTTTAACTTAATGAAGCAGTTTTGGTGTATAGAACATGCCCCTGCAGCCTCACTGCCCAATCCTCTGCCATTTAGGCGTTAAATCCCTTTGTTTATGAACTCTAGTCACACCTCCCTGCATGTGACTTGCACAGCCTTCCATAAACACTTCCTGTAAAGAGAGCCATATTTAGGCTTTCTTTATTGCAAGTTCTGTTTAATTAAGATTTTCTAATCCCCTGCTATGTTAATAGCTTGCTAGACCCTGCAAGAGCCTGTGATTAAAGTTCAATTTAGAGATTGAGATACAATTATTTAAAGGACCACTATAAGCACCCAGACCACTTCAGCTTAATGATTTGGTCTGGGTGCCAGATCCAGCTAGGGCTAACCCTTTTTTCTATAAAATATGTTTATATTAGGGTTAATCCAGCCTCTGGTGGCTAATCCAGCCTCTAGTGGCTGAATGCTTTCCTATGGACGGGCTGAATGCGCGCGCGGCTCTTACCGCGCATGCGCAATTAGTGGAGGAGAGCTCGGTGCTGGAGAAAGAGGTAAGTTTAACCCCTTCCTCACCCTAGTGCCCGGCGGGAGGGGGACCCTGAGGGTGGGGGCACCCTCAGGGCACTATAGTGCCAGTAGAACGATTGTGTCTTTCTGGCACTATTAGTGTTCCTTTAAGGTAAATTACATCTGTTTGAAAGTGAAACCAGTTTTTTTTTTTTTTTTCATGCAGGCTCTGTCAATCATAGCCAGGGGAGGTGTGGCTAGGGCTGCATAAAGAGAAACAATTTAACTCCTAAATGCAGTGAAATTGCAGGGGAATGATCTATACACTAAAACTGCTTTATTTAGCTAAAGTAATTTAGGTGACTATAGTCTGTGATTGGACAGGGTTAAAAGAGATGGATTTGCAAAGGCAGCAGACAAGAGAACTGCAGGCTTTGCAAGCTATTTTTATATAACTCCAATGAAAAAAAGCCCAATTAAACTCATGCACTGTTCCATTTGGGGTATATCTACTAAACAGTGCTTTCTACTTGAACACTGAAGTGTCCGTTTAAAAGAACCATCTAAGTAACATTACAGCTTGCTGTAGTGGTTATGTTGTCTTGACTGTCTTAGTGCCGTCCCCTTTTTCATGCCGAACCATTAGGAACGATTTGTCATAAACATGAGCTATTCCTACTGCCCAGTGATCTTTTACTCTGTTGCATTGATAAAGCATAATTATTACCAGTTATCATTATCACTATTGTAAAAACTAGATAACATAGTTATTGATTTAGAGTGCTGGATGCAGGTTTTGCAGGTGTTTGCAAACTGCTCCTGAATACATTAAGAGTAGATTAGGTAAGGGCTGTAGTATTTTACATTTTTTTTTATATATATTATTGCATTCCAATTGTATTTTGATATTAATATGTATAATTCTATATTAATATCGAAATACACTTAGAAATAAGGTACATATAAAATAGAATTCTAAGTATATGTTGGACAACCAATCCTGCCAATGAATCTGATCCGCGTCATGTCATCTCGTTATTACCGCGATCACATGACTCGGATTGACTGCAGAGCGACTGCTTGGGTTGACAGGCACATCCCCCGATCTTGATCGCCGTGGAGGGTAAGTATTGCTCCTGGAGAGTGGGCTAGATCGTTAGAGCGAGCTATGCAACCCTAACTGTGTTTTCCTTTTTTTAGGACAGCATCACACATCCTAACGTCTCGAAGGAGCTAATATTGCTAATTCAAAATTCTAATTAGTGCATTAGCAATATATTTAGGGACTTGGAAATTTGTGCATTGTGACCATTAGTTTGGGTGGATATGCTCAGACAGTTTGACATAAAACCAGGGGATGGTGCCAGGGCCATAATGGCACCATAACCACTACAACTGGCTTTAAATGAAAGCTATTCACATTTTTTAATTTAAAATATTATATGTATTATAGCCTCTGTATTCATTATTTGTAATGCATACATATAAAAAATGCATCGTCTGTCTTACACTGTGTACACATAATTCCTCTGATTAGAAGCTTATCTGATGAAAGTTAAAGGAACATGATGGGCACCAGAACAACTTTATCAAATAAAGTCGTTATGGTGCTTCCTTACCTTTTAGGGTTTAAACTGTTCATAAACTGTTTAACCCCTAAGTTAGTTCTTCAGCGTTGCACCTCTTTGTAACTATCCACATCCGCACTCTCTTTAGAAAACTTGGCTCTAAAACCAATCAATAGCCCATTTATAAAAAGGTTATGTACCTACTTATGAATGGATAGCTACTGATTGACTTAGAGCATTACTTGACCGCTCTGAGACAATCAGAGGCACTCTTGCCCGGCAGCAGACTGTACTTCCTGCATCAGAATTGGAGAAAGTGGAATGGACAATTGGAAGGAAGAACGGTGCTTCTTTTTGATGAAGTTATGTTGCCTGTATTGTTCCTTTAATTAAAGAATATATGTGGAATCATGTATACTGATATCACATGGCATTGCTAACCATCTCAAAAGTGTGCTCGGGGTTGGATTTAGACCTTTAAATTGTACATGTCCTTAGCATATAATTGGGGCTTCAGTGAAGATTTGAACCTGAACTTCTGTGAGCTGGGTATCCTCCCCAGACTTGCTAATAAGTTAAATGTGACTGGGCCACCGCTGCCATGGTTAACAAGTTCAGTTTTACTTACCTTTCTTCCCTTGCAGCAGTGGCCACTGGCATTCTGTGCTACCTCTTTGGCTAAGATCATAGAGATTGATGGTCTTATCCAATCCAATGCTTCCCAATAGGGATGCATTGGGAGGCTAGTTCACTTGTGTAGCAAAACTCTGCGCCAATCTGATGGACTGAGTGGGTGGGACGCATGGCATCCACAACATGTAATTGAGGATAGGCTATTTATTTGCATAGAATTTAACAGAAGTGTGTTTATTTTTACCTAAGAGAGTGTCCTCGTTACATGAGGAGGGTCATCCGTATTAATAACCCCACTGCGCTGACAGGCCATAGTAGAAAGTCCAATTCCACTTCAGGACTCTTGTCTCCACTTTTCTTCACCAAGCATGGCAGAGATTGAAAAGTATCCTATTTTAATTGCAGTTAATAAAAGTATTTTCATGAAATATCTGTAATTTTAGAATTCATTTATGGAACACCCATCTAACTATCAATCAGGGGTGCTAAGGGTAGTGGTAGGCATGCTCTACCTTAGACAGACCTCCGATCAGATGCACGCATTTGCTCTTGGACACATCTGTTCAAGACTCCTATGTATGTAGCTTTTACTGCTTTGCAAACAGCATAGCAATAAAGACCAAGAAGGTTGTTACCACTACGCTTGATTTCTTAACATGAATTTGTTATTGGATTGACTAGTTGGGAAACCAAAATATATTCTATGACAGGCCTTCTATGATAAGGGCTGAAAATCCATCTGTTTCTCCATGCCTTAGCAGCTGCTTCTCGGTTGCTTTTTCATTCTTTTATGATACGGGAATGATAGGTGTGGTGAGACATCATATTTAATCAATTTGACTTGGTGTACAGGACAGCAAATATGCTCTGGATGAACTGCGGGGTGCATTGATGAGATTGCTTACTTTTTTTTTCCCTATGGACACTAATAATTATAACACATTTCTGTAGTTTAGTGGTAGACAACTAAAAAATATGATGATACATGTTTTTATTAAAGTTTGTGTGTACACATTATCATATATGTAAGTATATTTTATGAAAACCCTCTAAAATGCTTCTCTTCTTTTTCTTTTTTCTTTTTTATAAATCAGGATGAGGAAAAATCAGAAGTAAGCCTGTTAACTTGCATAAGAGGAGCAAACCTGGATACAGTTTTTACTTTTTCAACAATAATGGATGTACAGCTTTATAATATTTTGGCATTTTGAAGGAAGCAATGTGTGCAAGAGGAATAATTGAAATGGATATCCGTCTACTGAATTAAAGGAGAAACCTCGGTCAACCTTTTCTTTTCGATTCGTTTGCTTTTTATTTTGGAATTTGCATTTTGGCGTTATTGCAGCTTACATATATACTGCAGAAGTCTACTACTTGAGATTATTTTTATGGCAATCAACACAAACTGGTCGAACATCAAAGTTATAATTCCTCTTGCAGATGTTGTTCTCAATACCTAGCTTTTAAACTTTTTAATTTAGTTCGCAATATTAGAAGTAGATAATATTTGTTATCATGGATTGGGAAGAAGATGACAGAATTGTAGACTTGGAATTTTTCTATGCAGAGGTGCAGCAAAAAGATGTTTCACGTAGGCTACAGGTTGGGCATCAGTTCTTAGAGTACCTGACAGACCACAGACACTCTGCTGATCTGGAGCAGGATTCTAAAAGGCTGGACAAAATTATTGATGAGATGGCCTCCTGGGTGAATAGCAGCAATTACAAGGTGAGCAAGGCACACTTCTTTTTTTTTTTTTCAGGAGGATGTGAAACACTATTGAATAAAAACATTTAAAGCCACCTGCAACTTTTAACCTTTTTTCACTGTAGTTGTTTTGGTGCCTGGTTCTCCCCTTTGCCCTTTGTACGTAATCGAACCGTTTTAGATGGTTAGACTGGTTTCTTTATCCACAGGGAATGCCCCACACCTCCCTGCAGGGGATTTGCCTCTGGCAGACCCTATATAAGAAGTCAAACCATTCTAAAACTATTTTACTATACAATTAAGGGAAGTGCCAGGGTTCTCCAGGCGCCACAACAATGCTTTGTATTGTGTTTTTGTTTTTAAATTCTTTCTTTTTCATAGAAAAAAGAAGTGCATATTTGTGCCAATGTATAGGCTTACGCAGAAGCCGCGAAAGAAGTGCATATACGTATGACAATGTATAGGCTTACGCAGAAGCCGCAAAAGAGGTGCATATATGTATGACAATATATAGGCTTACGCAGAAGCTGCGAAAGAGGTGCATACTTATGACAGTGTATAGGCTTGCGCAGAAGCCGCAGTGCGTTTTCAGATGGTCTAATTATACAACAGGGAGGAGTGTTATCTTAAGACAAGATATATGCTTACTATCGCTGCTAGTCTCGTCGGCGGTTAATTTGTCATCTTGTGTTTTGCTGAGACAACTCTACATGGTTTGTCAGTGAGGTCTTGCTTTGAGTACATATGCCACTTCAATTAGCGTGGTTTTATACAGTTGTTAACTAAAAATGTCATAATGTTTATTCTAAAATCCTACATTAACCAAAAACATTGTAGTTAGTGATACGGTGAATTGGTGCGTCTGTTTCCACAGCCCGGACGAGGGCTGTCGTGTGCCCTTTTGTCGTTAGCCCTAAGTGTGTGTTTGGTTCCCTTGTCCGCCCTCTGTGTTCTCCTGATATTGTTCCCATAGATCCCATATTCTGCTAAATTTTTTGGTGGTGTGCCTGACCAGGGAAGTTAATCTGTCCATAAGGTAGTTATCTTTTATCTTCGCTACGACCAGTGCCACAGGGGGCATTTCTGGACATAGCCATGTCTGTGCTAGTGCTCTACAGGCCGCTAAGTAAACCATATTTAACAATTGTTGCTCCGGGTGTGGAAGGCCATCTGTTGGTCTTGAGGAGGCGGGCTACTGTGGTAGGTCTAGTTTTAGTGGTCTCTGCAATATGTTAGTGCTTAGGTTGATAATTTGAACCCAATAGGCCTATAATTTGAACCCAATAGCCTATAAGGCCTGTAATAGGTGTGCACGTAGGTGCCTTGGTCCCCGCAGCCGTGCCGGCAAAGATCTGTGGAGGTGATCTGCATGGAGAATTGTTTTAATGGTGTGGTGTACCACCTGAAAAGTGTTTTAAATTATTGTTCCTGGAGGGTGACACATATTGATGATCGGGCTGTGGCCTCCCAAATGTCCTGCCAATCGGAGCCCTCTAATGTCTCTCCCAGGTCTGTCTCCCACTGGTTCGTGTATCGTAGCTCCCCCCATTCTTTGGCCTCTCCGCTGAGGTGACAGTATAGTAACGATATGAGTCCACTGGGGTGTTTTTCCTGGTAGCATATATTCTCGAACCAGGTGAGTGGGAGAGTGGCCGTCTCCTTGACTTCTTTTGAGCTAGCAAAGTCTCTTAATTGGAGGTAGTGGAAGAAGTCCCTAGTTGTAAGGGGGGATTGTTCCCTGAGCTGGTCGTATGTGACTACTTGGCCTTTTTTATATAAATGGCAATATCTCTGGATACCTGCTCTCTCGAAGCCACTAAAGTCGCCTGCTGTCATTCCTGGTGGGAAGGATAGGTTCCTGAGTACAGGGGTTGGGGAGGGGAACCTGCTTAAAGCATATTTGGTTGCTGTTAGGTACCAGATTCTTAGGGAGTTCGTTATTGCTGGGCAGGTTACTCTAGTGAGTGCTCTGTGTGTCTTGTGTAACCAGGGATAGAACTGTGGTAGGTCTTGCCCCATTAGTGAGGTTTCAAGTTCTACCCAATGACGGGTGTCTGGTGTGGAGTGCCAATATGCTATTTGCGCCATCTGCGCTGCTAGGTAGTATAGGTACATGTTCGGTAGTCCCAGTCCCCCTCTGTCCTTGGGTCGGTACAGGAGTTTCCTGGCTATTTTGGGTCGTTTCTTTTGCCAAATGAACATGTCTATTGCTTTTTGGAGTGTGGACAAGTCGCTCCTCTTAACCTGTGTGGGCAGGGCCTGGAACATAAATAGTAACCTGGGGAGAATGTTCATTTTAATTGAGTGTAGTCTACCTAACCATGAAATGGGTTTGTCCATTCACTGCTCTAGGTCTCTCAGGAGTGTACGAATCAATGGGGAGTAGTTAGTGTCGTGTAGGTGTTCGTACTGTGCTGTAAGTTTGACCCCTAGATAGGGTATGTTGTCAGCTGTGGTGGGTAGACGGTGTCTGTCATGTATTATAGCTCTGTCTTGGGTCGGAAGGTGGAATGGTAGTGCCATGGATTTGACGAGGTTCACTCTATAGCCCGCAAGGGTTCCGTACTTGTCCGGGAGGTCAGTCAAATGTTCCCTGAAGGTTAAGCGGTCTGTGAGAGTCAGCAGCACGTCGTCTGAATACGCGGAGACTTTGAAGGTTTTCCGTGCTACCCTTATTCCTTGTATGTGTGGGTGTTGGTGTATGGCTTGTAGTAACGGTTCTAGGGAGATGGCGAATAGCAGTGGGGATAGAGGGCATCCCTGGTGTGTACTGCTATGAAGGTGGAAGGGGGTCTTAGTTACTCCTGCTATTAGGGTTTGGGCTCTCAGGTTAGCATATAAGGCGCGCGTGGCCTCGATGTAGGCTTCCCAGAAGCCTACATTCTTCCAGCAGGCCAAAGAGGTATGGCCATTGCACCCTGTCAAAGGCCTTCTCCGCGTCCAGGGAGATGGCCAGCGATGGCTGTTCGGATTTTTGCCCTTACCACGTGAGCACCGCCCCCCTATGTGTGTTTTCATAAAGTTGCCTACCGGGGATGAACCCCACCTGGTCTGGGTGGATTAGGCGTGTGAGCATCGGCGCCAGCCTGGCTGCCAGTATTTTTGCATATATTTTAAGGTCCGAATTAATCAGAGAGATGGGCCTGTAATTCGATGCGAGTTCAGCTTCTTTCCCGGGTTTCGGGATTAGCGTGATGTTGGCCAATGCCATGTCGGCATTGGGTGCACCCCCTGTCATAAAGTGGTTATATAAGGAGGTGAGGTGGGGGGCCAGTTCTTCTTTGAATTTCTTGTAGTACCCTATTTCGTAGCCATCGGGGCCTGGGGCTTTGTTGCCTTTTAAGATCGCTATAGCAGTTTCTACTTCTAATTGGGAGATTGGTTCTTGTAAGTTTGTGGTGTCTATATCTGTTATCTGAGGTAGCTTTATACTGGCAAGGAATGTACGTAGTGAGGAACGTATTTGTTCCGGCGTGTTTTGTGAGTGGCTGGCCTGCCCATAGAGGTTTGAGTAGAACTCCGTGAATACCCTGTTTATATCTTGGGGAGTCGTCGCCAGTTCCTGTGTGAGAGTGCGTATTTTTGTGATGGGTTTGTGGTCACCGCGGGGACGTAATGCTCTGGCTAGTAGGGAGTCCATTTTGTTGGACTTTTTGTAGAACAATCGCCTAGATCTCTGGATGGAGTGTGCGACCCCCTCAAGCAGGATCCCCCTGATTGAGTGTCTTAGTGCGGTGAGTTCCGCTAATTTTTCGGCTGTGGGATTTTGTTTGTGCTGTTGTTCCGCTTTTCTCAAGGCATTCTGAAATTCTATTAGTGCTCGGGTATTGCATTTCTTTTTATGTGTTGCTGCTCTAATGAAGTGTCCTCTCATGACCGCTTTGTGGGCCACCCATAGCGCTACTGGATCTACCTCGGGCGTGGTGTTTTGTGTGAAGTATTCTGTGATTAGAGTACGCGTATCCTCGCATATAGTGTCACTGTTTAATAGGCTTGTGTTGAGGCGCCATGTCCATGTGGCGGAGTATTTGAGTTTGTCTAACGTAATTGATATGTCCGCATGGTCCGACCAGGTGATACTGCCTATGTCAGTATGCACGAGTTTGGACATCCCTACTCCGTTGAGGAAAATGTGGTAAATTCTTGAGTATGTGCCGTGGGGCGCCGAATAGAACGTGTAGTCACGTGTGTTGGTGAGGAATGTATGCAGTAGTTTATCCTGTGCTCCTCTCCCATGGGACCTGGGTGAGCCTGTTTTCGTGCTCCTGTCGAAAGCCGGACTTGGTACGGCGTTAAAGTCACCTCCCACCAGTGTTATCCCTCCCCCTTCAGCGTTAATTATTGTTGTGAGTGTGTCCCAGTATGTAGGGTCTGGTATGTTAGGAGCGTACACATTCATGATTCTTATTTTTGTGCTGTGTATCGTGCCTATTATTACGATGTAGCGGCCCTCTGGGTCAGCTAGTGTCCCTGTCACATGGAGTGGGCAATTTTTGTGTACTAATATTGCCACTCCGGCGCGTTTGTGTAGCTCTCTCGCTTCGTGGGTCTGTGGGAAATATCTGTCTTTCAGGGTTATTGACGCTGTCCTAGGTATGTGGGTTTCTTGTATAAGGGCAATGTCTGTTTTGCGTGATTTCAGGTCTTTTAGCAGTAACCTGTGTTTGTTCGGGGTGTTTAGTCCCTTAACGTTGAGAGAGGCAATTTTTAGAGCCATGTGTAGTGCATGACAATAGGGGTGTAGTGGTGTGTTTGTTTGAGCACCTACTTTGTTGTGTGATCTGTTTCCCACTCTTCGTGGGTGGATCCCCCTCGTCCGAGCCGTGGGCAGCAGCAGTATCGGTTTGTGGTGTGACCTTGTCTGTGGAGGCGTTTTGTAGAAAACCTTTACTGCAAAAGGAATTTACACTGGTAGCAATCAAAAGATAAACATAAACAAACATAAATTAAGACTCTGGTCTTACACCCTGCCAGAGGTGGCTGGGGGCGTGGGTTTTCCCTGTCCGGGTAGTGTAGAAGTCCGGATGTAACTATGTACAGTAATTCTGAGTTATGTGTATGTATTGGTATTGCTGGGATGTTGGAGCCTCAGTGAGGTTGCCGGTCGAAATCCACCTGTACTGGTTCAGGTGTCGCTGCGGATGGGTCAGCAGGTGTCGCCGGCTCTGAGGCAATGTGAGGTGTGGCGGTGATGATACAGCTGGTTTGGCTACTAGGGCGTTTGTGCTGTATCGTTGGTGTGTGGCATGCATGTGTCGGTGGGCAAGCAGGCACTTGCAGTTGTCGTGATTGTTTGGAGCTGGGGTTGAACCTAAGTTCAATTGTTGCATTATGGGGTGTGGTGTAGTGGGAGGATGGGGGCTAGGTTCCAGGGTGGATATGTCGTTAAGACCCCAAGTTAGAGCAGGAAGATTTTTTTTTGATTTTTTTTTTATAGATGTGTTGTTTGTTTTACCCCCCTCTCTGGTGTATCTTTGCATGTGTGTGGGGGTGTGATGGTTGGCTATCGAATATACCTCTCCCTTGCATATTCGTGGAGCGTTATTTAGCCTGTGTCTCTAAGTGCTACAATACCTCAAAACATAACCAGTGGCATACGACCTGGTATACGAATGCCTTTCTTACGCCTCGTTGTGGTTTTGAGGGGCGGCAGGTAAGTAAAGTCTCAATGTCAGGCCCCGTTCGATTTTCTGCATGTCCACGGTGGCATTGTCTGAGAGTTACCCCTCGTTGTCGTGTCTCTCTGATTTGCGGTTGTGAGGTGATGGAGCAAGTCAGCTGGGGTCTGGTGTGGTGTATCTGGAGCCTGCTGTAGTTCGCTGTTTGGGTAAATCTTTTTCGTGATGGGTTCAATGTTAGTCACATAACCTCCCTGGAAGGACCTAGCATTCGGTGTGGTTCCTTCATGTCTTCTGGACTGGCGGAAGGTCTCCTCTTCTATGTTCGTCCGAGGATCCCCTCCTCTGCCGCTTTGGGGGTTAGCGTCTTCTTTGTTCCCTCGGGAGTCGAGCAAAGGTCTGCGCTGGGTCCATGGCTTACCAGTCCATAATGCGTACCTCTGTAAGTTTCAGTGTTCTTATGAATGGCATCACATCCCTATGTTCTGCTATGATGTAGTTGGTCCCTTTAAGCGTGACAATAAGGGCTAGGGGGAAGCCCCATCGATACTTGATGTTTCTAGCACGCAGTTGGTCTGTGATCGGTTTTAGGTGTCACCTTGCCTGGAGAGTGAGCCATGAGAGGTCTTGATAAATATGGATCTCGTGCCCATGGAACAGCAGTGGCGGACTAGTGTCTCTTAGCTTCTTTAGTATACGGTCCTTGTCTGTGAAGTAGTGTAGGCGACATTTGATATCTCTCGGGGCGTCCCTGTTGTTGCTTTTAGGTCTGTGATCTGTCAAAGTGGATCGATGTTGATAGTGGTTTCTCTAATAGTAAATTTAAATAACTCTTGCAGTGATGCTTGTATGTTTTCTGCCTCAGTTTCGGGTATGCCCTTTATTCTGAGGTTGTTTCTGCGCCCCCTGTTGTCTATATCATCTAGTGACCTTTGAAGCTGAGACATGTGGGTTTCATGGGCTTCTAAACGGTCTGACAGGGTGGTAAGTTGGGTCTGTATCTGTCCCCTATCTCCCTCCAAGTCTTGGACACGGAGGCCTACCTGCCGGATTTCAGCTCCCAGTCCCTTCATCTTGTGCTGAAATGAAGTTTCCAGTTTCTCCAGCATAGTGGCGATGTCTGCCTTGGAGGGTACGTTTTTAAGCAGGTCCTTTATGTCTTGGTCCGCTGGGGCTGCTGAGGCCTCAGAAGCAGCAGGGCTAGGCGGATTGGAGAGGTGTTCTCCCGCCATCGGCGCCATGTTTCTCTCTCCATGTTCCGGAATGCGGCAGGTATAATCTTTAAAAAAAATGGTGAAACCGGGCGCCGTTTCTCAGCAGGTACCTTCCCGGTGCTTGTGTGGGCGCTCTGCGTCCGTTTGGGGTTCCCCATGTTTGGTTGGCGCTCGTGTCCCAGCTGTTTTTAGTGCCTGCGGTGCCGGAGCCGAGCTAACATGCGGCCATCTCTGCTAACGGTCGGCCACGCCCCGCTCTGTATTGGTTATGTTGCTTGGAGTGTTCCTTTAAAGCAGACCTGCACCACTAGGCAATAGGTAGGGGGCAAAATTAAATAGACAAAGCTTCTTCGGGCAACAGGTTTTGTTAGTGCCTATCACACGCACACTAACAGACATACAGCTTCACACACAGACATGCAGACAGACATACAGATACACAACACATGCACAGACAAACACACTTACATACCGATATACGGCACCTCAGTGTAATCGCACCCGAGCGGTGTGGTCACGCCGTCATGGTGCGTGATCGGCATAGTTATGTGACCGCATCTGATCGGTGCGGTCACACTAAAGGAGGGAGAGGTTACTCACCTTGCCTCCAGCACCTCTCATTCCTCACTGCTGGATCCTCACAGCGTCCGGATCCAGCATTAGGAAGGACGCCGGCTGCTGCGTTACTAGTGACGTAAACGTGCGTGCGGCGTCATGTTTTCGCAGTTCACGCACCTTCTGGGGTCATGTGACCAAAATTGAAAAATAGTAGGGCTTACTTGGTTATTTAAACCCAAACGTGCAGCTGTTCAGTGCCCTGTCGTGGTTTCCATCCTGTTGGTTAGCTGAGAGCGCGCTCCACATGGATCGACCGATTATCGGTGTTACCGATGTTATCGGCCTATATTCGGTATTTCCGGCAATATCGGTATCGGCCAATTCAGATATCGATATTGCCGATAATATATAACAGGACCGCCAGGCTCATTACAAGCCCGGCGGTTCTGGGGGGGAGGGGGGTGGGGGTGCGGCAGCAAGCGAGCCCCGCGGCCATCAGAGCATTGCCACGGGTTACCAGGGCAACGCTCTGCGTTGCACGCTGGCCGCGAGACTAACACTGGGGAGCTGGAGGAGCTGCTGGGAGGTAAGTAAACACTTGCTTCTGGCCCCCCCACAGCTCAGCCAATGCCACTGGACCACCAGGGACTGCTATATCCCCCCTCCCTGGCCAGGTAACAAGCAGGGAGGGGGGACAACAAAAATAAATAAATAATAATTAAATATAAAAAAATAAAGTGTCCCTTCACACACACACTCCATTATATACACATACACTACACAAACACACTGTGTATATAATGCAGTGTGTTTGTATAGTGTGTGTATATAATGCACACTACACAAACACACTGCATTATATACACACACTATACAAACACACTGCATTATATACACACACTATACAAACACACTGCATTATATACACACACTACACAAACACACTGCATTATATACACAGTGTGTTTGTGTAGTGTTTATATAATGCAGTGTGTGTGTTAGTATAGTGTGTGTATATAATGCAGTGTTTATATAATGCACACTACACAAACACACTGCATTATATACACACACTATACAAACACACACACTGCATTATATAAACACACTACATTCACTATACGCACTACATAAATACACACACACTGCATTCATTATATACACACACTACACAAACACATACACTTTGCATTTAGTATATGCAGCATTCACTTTACACACACACTGCATTCACTTTACGCACACTACCCACACACTACACAAACACTCTGCTTTCATTATATACACACTACACTAATACACACTGCATCCACTACACACACTAGACAAATACACACTGCATCCACTACACAAGCACACACACTACACAAACACACACTGCATCCACGACACACACACTACACAAACACACACAGCTCCCCTGTCTAAACACACTGGATCAACTACACGTGGCATGTATAGTTTGTGCATTTACCTTTAGAAATAGTTTTTATTTTCCAAAATGGTAAATGTACAGAATATCTGCAAATTATATTGGCTATCGGCCTGAAAGTTCACAGAATATCGGTATCTGCTCTAAAAAAATCAATATTGGTCGATCCCTAGCGTTCCAGTTTATTTTGTCCGTATTTGACTTAGTTCTGTGTGTTGGGCCACTGGATCGTACTGACAGACATACAGATACATACACACACGGACATACAAATACACACACACACACACACACACACAAACTCTGACAGACCCACAGGTCAAAATATACACTTTTATAGCCACCCTCCAGTTTCTTACCTTTTAGGTGCTGAAGGGGGGCTTCCCTTGTATCTAATCTGCAAACTAAGGATGTTGGGAGTTAGGGGCTGGCTCTTGCAGCCTGTAATCCCCTCCTCTTTGCTCACTCTGTGCGACTCCAGTCTCTCCTGGCCTGGCCTGGCCCCCTCCTCACAGCCTCCCACCTGGCTTTGGTCTCCGCCTCACTCCCTCCCAGGCTGCTGATAAGCAAGGGCCCAGTCGCGCTATTAAAGCGCAACAGCGCCCGACCGTGCCTGTTGGGTGGCCCTAAGTGCATGGGCCACCTGATGGAGCTGCTAATTGAGCGGGCCCGGTGCAGCTTAGTGGCTGCACCAGCGGTGGTTCCTCGCAGGCCATATGTTGTTCAGGCCTGTTTTAAAGATTTAACAAATGGCATTACAATCCAGTTCAGTCCAGGCAAACATTGCAAAAGAAGAAGGGAAATATAAACGCTGTTTTATTTCTCCTCGTGTCTATCTGGTCTCTCCATGTTGGCTGCCAGGTGCAAAAAACAGAGCTTAAAACATTAATTGTGAGGTAGCCAAGGTGCAGTTACTCAGTTTGTGGATTTTATTTTCCCTTTTTTGTGGCACAATTGGCCATAATGTAAATTTTATTTATTTTTTGCAATCTTTTGGGTCAGCAGAATAAAAAGATGTGTTTAAAGTTTGATTTCAATAGACTTAAGGCTTTTTTTGACTTAGAATAGTATGTTATTATGTAATCGTTAATTTCACACCCTTGTGTGTACTTGTTATTCATATACTCAAGATTTGTATGCTGCTTTGTCTCCTGAGTTCTGTAATACACCACATGTATACATTTGCCATTTTTTCAGGAAGCTTACAGCATCATATTACAATAAGCTATATGTATGGCACTTTATGGGAATAAAAGTGAAATCTAATGCTTTTCCTAGTACACTGTTGTGAAGGAAAGCTAAACTGTAGCAATAGTAAAAAATTTAACAGGGTAGTGCGGCACGTCAGTGTAGGTTTACTGGAAACAGGAGCAAAAAATAAATAAATAATTTTTAAAAAATTTTTTGCCCATAGGCCTTACTCATGCGTGAATGACTAATGCCTATGGACCTGAAACCTATTTTTTTTACTTTTAGCATCATATTGCAGACATTTCCTATTTTTTTACTTCTATACTTGCTTCCAAGAGACACTTTGGTAAAGTGACGTCATATGTGTGACCTTACTTAGCAGCATCGATATTTCACATAATTTCTTTTTAACCCAAACCAAAGAACTGTTTGGGAGATTGACCCATCACTATATAATCACACAGGCCTTGTGTGTACTTTTTCTTTGAAGACCCAAGATTTGTATGCTGCTGTGTCTCAAATCAAAGAACTGTTTAGGAGATTGGTCCCCAGACCAGGTGATCACTGTGATAACAAGCCACAATGATCACATTCATTTAACTAACAGCCAAGGAATTTCATCACTATGAATTGTTCCCTGGCAATCAGACAGTCTTTGAGCCAATCTGTGAATCCTATTGCTGGCTGACTCACTTGTGGCCCTTTGACAACTGATTGTGGCTAGCTATATAGCAGCATTTGATTGAGAACAGAGTTTGACATGGTTCTCAAAGGGACGCATTTTTTTAGTGGCTGTCAGGAAAACAGCCACCACTGTTACATTGCAAGGCCAAAGCTAAATGTCCCATTGCCCCCAGACAACTTTATTGAGATGAAGTGGTCTAGGTGCCTTTAGTTGTCCTTTAACCCCTTAAGGACACATGACATGTGTGACATGTCATGATTCCCTTTTATTCCAGAAGTTTGGCCCTTAAGGGGTTAAGGGTGACTGCAGAAATTCAAGATGAAGTCTGGAACATAACACCTGTCTGTATTCATTTGCATGTGGAGCTGGGGATACTTGAAAATACTTGTGAAAATTGTAGAAATATTATTTCTCCAAAATACAATGTCTAAAGCAGACGTTTCCCATGAGATATGTAGCTAAAACATGACCTCAAACCGTGTATTTATCAGGGCTTGACAAATTTTCTTTGAATCTAGAAGCCAGCTTAAAAAAGTTAGGAATCAGTTTTTTTTTTTTTCTTTTTAAACTAAGAAAGCTTTATTTTTAAATGACAAAAATATAATTCTTAAAGTGACACTATAGTCACCAGAACCACTACAGCTTCATGTAATTGTTCTGGTGTCTATAGCCTGTCCCTGCAGGTTTCAATGTTAAAACTCCCTTTTCAGAGTAAAGGCAGTGTTTACCTTGCTGCCTAGTAACACCTTTAGTGGCACTTACTCAGACAGCTACTAAAGGTGTTTCAATGCAACTCTATAAGGAGATCCTGATTGGTGCAACATTCTGAGCATGTGCAATAGCCTCACAATGCTTTCCTTTGAGAAAGCACTGGGTTGGCTGAGATCCTCAAGCTTGATTTTCAGGCATGGAGGCATTGCTTCAAATTCTCTGAAACTGCTATGTTTGCATCTGCAGGGTTAAAACCTGAGGGACCTGGCACCCAGACCACTTCATTGAGTTGAAGTGGTCTGGGTGACTATAGTGTCCCTTTAACTTGTCACCATTTTTTCACCAATTTATGTTGAGGGGGAAAAAATTGAATTTTTACATACATGTTGCATTTTTGCTGAGAGTTTCTTACACTTGATATGTGCCAATGTCAAAAAAATCCCCCAAATTAGGCTGTTACATCTTCTGAGTAAAACAAAATACCCAATTTTTGACCTACACGCTATTTTGTTAAATTACAGTGCTGTAAAAGAGACGTGACAAGTTCAGGTTTTTAAGTGTGAATTTTCATGGAGGGTTTTGATGTGTCCGTGTCCCACTTTGGAGCACTTTAGCAGGCTACATATTCCAACTACACCATAAAGGCATTTCTTAAAGAAGACATCCCAGGGTATTTCAAAAGGCATATTTTGAACCTTCGCGTGGGATAATTTTTCTGTTAGCTTGTACCAAGTGTAGTGGTAATAAGCATTTTTTTCTGCCTTTTTGACACACCGTGAGTTTGTACTGTATATTTTGCAAACCTTATGTGTGCTACGGCTGTATAATACTTCATATTTTGCTCAGCAATACCCCTGTATGTACCTTTGCCATGTATATGTGGATGTTGAAGGGGCACATTTGAGATAAATCCAATTTAGTTTTTTTTGTTTTTTTTTCCAATATTCCAACTACCCCATAAAGGCATACCATTTCATAAAGAAGACATCCCAGGGTATTTCAAAAGGCATATTTTGAATCTTGGCATGGGATAATTTTTTCGCTAGCTTGTACCATGTGTAGTGGTAATAAGCATTTTTTTCTGCCTTTTTGACACAAAGTGAGTTTGCGGGGGGCATGGCCAACAGCGTGCAGCACCAGACGAGTTAATGTGGAGCTCCGAAACAGCCCCGCGAACAAGCTGAAATAGCAACCGTTATCATTTACAAACTGAGAATATTTTATACTACCCCTCCCTCCCCCCAGACGACAGTATGGGGTGAAAACACAAAATGTCCTGCTGCCCGGAGGACTCTGGTTTGCCCGACATCAGGCTCTCTTTTGAGAGGCCTGCGGACCGAATACCACCCAAGATGGCACCCAAGGCACAAAGCGAGGCAGAGATCTCTGAAGACTCCCACGTGGAGGAAGGATCAAATGCCTCAAACAGATCTAGTGGCGTATACAAAGAGTCAGTCGGATGAGGACTTGCCCCCATCCAATTAAAGGGGATATAAGACAGGCTAGATGCAGCTAAAGTGAGTGACAAGGCATGAGATGGCCAGATGCAAGCAACACACAGCAGTGTGGGAAAGCCTTACACACCAAATACAAAAGCTGAACAGAACAGTAGCTGTACTAGAATCCAGGCATAGAAGACAAAATATCCGCCTGGAAGAGTTGGTGGAGAGGATTTATTCTCTTTTTCATACAGAGGATGATAGCCTCTATGGGCTTCAAAGGTAGCACTGATCCTTCACTGGTGATGTCAGCGTTCAGAGTCCACAAGTGGCTGTAGCCCCGGAGGGAGCACCCAGAGACACTATCATAGTCACTAGATATGTCACAGCATGGTCTACTTTTTTGGACAGATCCAGAGCCCTGGGGTTGGTGCACTTCGAATACTTCTCAGTGGCCCTGTACACAGACCTCCCGTTCCAGTCTTAGCAGAGAGAAGACAGTTGGCCCCAATTGCCAAGCGGCTGAGAGACCACTCAGTCAGGTATCGCTGGGGGATGGAAGGTTTTCTCATAGTCTCCAAAAGGGATATATCACTCACCTTAGCATCAGCCGACAACTCAACAAGTTTCCTCCAGAGGCTGGACCTTCAACAACCACGACCCGGCCAGCAGTGACAGTCGCAGAATGACTCTATGGAGGGAGCTTTACGGTCTCAAGCCACACAATCTGGGGTGGCCATCTGCCGGCTGCAGTTTAAGCCGTGAAGTCCAAGATATAATTTGCAGGCATAACACAACCTCAGAGTTGAAGCGCTACAGCAGTGGCCTTATAACCCCCATTAAGGCCTATGTCTTCCTGTGTGCTCAGCACAACTCAGAGTCTTGTTACCATACATTACCTTATTCTATTAAGATTTTTATTTTATTTCACCGTTAACAGGTTTGGTCCGAACAGACTATTATGTGTTCGCCCTTATAGAGACGAGCGCTCAATAGCACAAGTAGCCCTGGACGCACAACAGATCAATATGATCTCATCCCACTTGTACCTTTTCTCATATATTGTTATGATTGTATACCTTGTGTACTAAAATCCAATAAAATACAAATTGGAGTTTGCACGGTATATTTTGCGACTATTATGTGTGCTACAGCTTTGCAATACTTAATATGTGCTCAGCTATGTTGTCTGAGTACAACCAGACCCTTGTATATACCTCTGCCAGGTAAATGTGGATGTTGAAGGGGCACATTTGTGATGCAGCCATTCAGTTTTTTTTTTTCTAACTTTGAAGTTTTATGCTATGTCCATGTTCCATTTTGGAGTAGTTTTAGATGGTTTGTTATTCAAACTACCCCACCAATGCATGCCATTTTTAAAAGAATACACCTTGGGGTATTTTAAAAGGCATATTGTGAACCTTAGCATTTTTTCGCTAGTTTGTTCCAGGTGTAGTGGTAGTGAGCATTTTTAAATGTATTTTGTACTTCTTAAAACTTTTTTTTTATTATTTCTTATTAAATTTTTTAACTTTTTAAAACTTTCTTAAAACTTTTTATACACTTTGAAAAAATGTTTAACCCCTTAACGACCGAGGACGGTTCAGGACCGTCCTTGGCGTTTTTGCGTTGCCGACCGAGGACGTTCCTGAACCGTCCTAACGGTGTAGTGCTCCCGGTGTGGGGAGACCGCCTGCAGCCCAGACAGTCCCCCCATGGTGGATTAGGACCCCTGGGGCCATGTGATCACTTAACAGAGCAATCACATGGTCACAATAGGTGTGACAGTATGCAATACCTACATTCTGCTCCTCCACATTCTGCATGGAGGAGCTGGACGTTTCCATTGATATGCATTGATTTAATCCATTTCTATGAGTAGATGTTGATTGGCGCAATGTTTTACAGCGCATGAGCAATAGCTTCTCAGTGCTTTCCTATGGGAAAGCATTGGTTTGGCAGAGATCATCAATTGTGGTAATCTCAACCATAGAGACGGGGCCATATACGGGAAAAAAAGGAGAGTTGGGAACCTAAACACAGACAGACACAGATACATACACACATACACACACGCATACCAAGACAGACACACACACACACACACACTCACAAACACATTATTATTTATTTTATTCCAATTCGATTCCACCTAGCCTCCCGCCCCATGGGTGAGCTGGAGTGGATCAGTTTTCCCTGTGGTTTAGTGGGTGTTCTGGGGAGAAGACGGCCGGCTGGTTGCATGTATTGTTGGCGGTAAGGGACCTGTGATCTCCATGCTCTGCTTACTTGCCCGCTGCTTAGTGATGTTGGGGCTGAAGTGACGTCATATTCTGGCCCAGGCATCACTAAGCGGTGCACGAGGGAGCAGAGCAGGGAGATCACAGCTCCTTCGCAGTCAGCCGCCAGAAGACACAGGCTCCTAAATCCCAGGCGCCAGGAATGAATTCCAGGTCGCCACGGAGATCTTGCGCTTGGAATTTGTCAAGCTCTGATTTACATTGCAGGACTAAAGGGACACTGCACCCAGACCACGTCAATGAGGTGAAGTGGTTAGAGTGCCTATAGAGTCCCTTTAATTTCCAAGATGTAAGACAAAGACTAGACAATTTGTCTAGTGGGCCAAGTTGAGGTTGATACAACTTGGCAAGGACCAGAGCTTCAACATTCAGTTTTTGTCAATTTCCCGCAGTTCATATTGATGGGTGAGGGAAAAGCACCAAAGCATCTTACACATAGAGCAAGTAATTCTATGGGGGAACACAGTGTCTCTGGATCACACATAGATCTAAGCTGAGAGCAATATGTAAAGCTCTGTGTATGTGTGGCACAAATCCCAGGCGCCTGGGATATAGGAGCCTGGCGGTCGGGAGGCTGGCTGGGGAATTATGGTGGTGGACAGCAAGTTGGGGGATTATGCAGGCGAGCAGTATGCTGGGGGGTCATGGAGGCGGGCAGCTAGCTGTGCGACTATTAGGCGGATGGTGAGGGAACTGTGATGTCCCTGCTCTACTTCACTCACATTGCGTGCCATTTAGTGAAACCTGGGCTGGAATATGATGTCATATTTCTTCCCTGGTCTCATTAAGCGGCACCCGGGGTAGCAGAGCAGGGACATGGATCACACCTCCCTCGCCTCCCAGGAGCAATATGCACAGCTAGCCACCAGCCTCCACGATCCCCCAGCATGTCGCCCGCCTGCACAATCCCCCAGCCTTTCGTCCACTGGACCTCACAGGTATTGTCTCTGTCATAGTGTGAGTGTATGGTCTCTCTGTCATAGTGTGTGTATCTGTCTGCCATGGTGTGTGTGAGTGTATGGGTCTGTATGTCGTGTATGTCTGTCTGTCATGGTATACGTGTGTGTGTCTTTCTGTCATGATGTGGGTGCTTAGGTTACCAGACCCCTTCCGTTCGCGAGGGAATAGTGTTTTTACTCAATGCTGGTTTTACTCGACTGGCCCTGCCTTCATTACTGAGATCATTAAGTTTTACTGATCTCAGCCAATTCAATGTTTTCCCATAGAATTTGCTGCAAAACCCTGCACCAATCAGCATCTCCTCATAGAGATGCATTGAATTAATGCTTCTCTATGGGGAACATTCAGCGCCTCCATGCAGAGTGTGGAGACGTTGAATATAGGTGCTGCACACTGTGTGGCACTGACTCAGGAAGCACCTCTAGTGACCATCTGAGTGACTGTCACTAGAGGTGTCACTAGGAAGCAATGTAAACACTGTCTTTTCTCTGACAAGTCGATGTTTACATTGAAAAGCCTTCAGGGACAGGCTATAGACACCAGAACAACTACATTAAGCTGTAGTGGTCCTGGTGATTATCGTGTCCCTTTAAGATTTGTATTTTTGCCATTTAATATAAAGCCAAGTAAGTTTAAAAAAAATGGCTCTTAACTTTTTTTGCTGGCTCCTAGAATCAAAGCAAATTTGTCAAGCCCTGTGCTACACTGTAAGCTTTTTTTTTATTGTTTGCTTTATTGTAGGATTCAGATCCTGAGTGGATATTATTATTGTTTCACTTGTGGTATATTGAAAGACATATTATATCGTGCATATACACCTACACTGATTATTTTTATATTATTGTTTTGTTTGTTGTCTGGAAAGACACAACTGTAAGTGTGGAGCTTTTGCTCTATTATTCAGCACTTGATTCACCTTCACACATTTGTTTTATTTATCGTTTTTTTTGTTTTGCATTTTTTAATAGAATGCATTAATACATTTCTGTGAGTGATTTGATGCTTGCTCTTGGTAAGGAAATTCTCCAAGCACCAAAGCCACTACAACATGTAGTGGTTACCCTACATCGATTGCTGTGGTTACCACCCATTGTTAGTAGTCAAGCTGTTTGGCTTATCAACTGGGGTCTGCCGTATGCCATTCCCTTCCTCCTCGAGAGCCAGGAGCTTAAGCTTAAAGGACCACTATAGGCACCCAGACCACTTCAGCTCAATGAAGTGGTCTGGGTGCTAGGTCCATGTAGGGTTAACCCTGCAGCTGTAAACATAGCAGTTTCAGAGAAACTGCTATTTTTACGTTAGGGTTAATCCAGCCTCTAGTGCCTGTCCCATTGACAGCCGCTAGAGGCGCTTCTCACTGTGATTTTCACAGTGAGAAGACGCTGCCATCCATAGAAAAAGCATTGAGAAATGCTTTCCTATGGACTGATTGAATGTGCACGCCGCTCTTGCCGTGCATGTGCATTCGGCATTTGCCGTCAGAAGAGGGAGGAGAGTCCCCAGCGCCGAGGGAGCCTGGCGCTGGAGAAAGATAAGTGTTTAACTCCTTCAGCCCGGCGGGAGAGGGGCCATGAGGGAGGGGGGGACCAATTAACACTATAGTGCCAGGAAAACAAGTTTGTTTTCTTGTCACTATAGTGGTCCTTTAAGAGTTTCCGTTAGATCACTTAGTTAAGTCCTGCAATACTGGGCCAGCTCCTAGGCTACTAACGTCAGCTGATCGTCAGTGACCAAAGCACTGCCTGACTTTGCTCTGAACTGAGAGCTTCCGTCTGATGTGGAGGTTTAGAACAGCGCCCGTCAGACTCAAGGTAAGGCAGTTTAAAATGGTCTAAACCAGTCTGACTACATACATTGGGGGGTGAGGGTTATCAGGGCACTCCATTAAACATAAGCCCTACAGAGTGCTTGGAGTGTACATTTAACAGCTTACTCATGTAAATTACTACATTGGTCAATATTATTTCATTACATTGATACAAATGTAGACTTGCCTAGGAAGCTACGCCCCAAGGGTGTCAAATTTCTGCCTCCCACTATTTTACTACATTTTCTTCTTTAGCCTAGACTACCATTGAAGCTGGCAGATTTTTTTCTGATGAACAGATGGTTATTGCATAACATTAGTAAAACCAGAGAAATTATATCACACAATGAAAAACAGTTTAGTAGCAAGCAACTATGTTTAGCAAAATCACCTTACAGAGTGTTAACTACAATTAACACTGCATTTCTCAAGAGTTTGCTCTTTGAAATGTGTTGGCTATCCATATTAATATGCTTCTTCCCTTATCTGTTTTGTAGGTGACTTTGCTTGGATTAGATGTTCTTAGTGCCTTAACGGACAGGTTAATAGAACGTTTCCGAACCTACTTGGTAACTGGTAAGTTGGCTATATTTAGCTTGTTGATGTGCTTTATGTGGCTGCAGTTTGTAATTTTCTTTACAATCAATAAAAGTGCCAATTTCAACATAAATCTTCACTTTTTTAACAATACATGCAAAAAGATTAAGAAAATTTACTTGATTGTTGCTTGTTTCTTTTTGTAGACTTACCAGTAGACTAAGTATGCCCATTAATATTATTCCCAGGGTGCTTATTGTGATATTGTTGTAATTTTTATGCCTCTAAGCAGCTCATGTCTTCATTTAATTATTTTTAATAAACTTTTCAAATTATCCTAGCAAATTTTTTAATTTTTTTTTATAACAGAATGCACCATTAAAGTCCAAGGGAATTATGGCAGATAAAACATTTGAATTTTATTTCTAATGGATTGTGATAATCTGAAAAGTTTATACAAAAGATAATGATCGAGGCGTAAGTCTGCATCTTTGTTTAAAAATAAACAAATAACATATGCTGTTACATGCTTCTGGCAGCTGAAAGCTCTGAGTGGTGCAGGACTGAAGTCTTGGACTGAGAGTGACCCGCTGATACTCTCAGCTATTGAGCTAGCCCTGCATTTCAGGGCTTAGCTCTCGAGAGCTAATGGAAGTTCCTAGCAGTAGCCTCCTCTATTCAGAATTGAAAGAAAAAAGGCATGTGATGCCCAACAGAACACATGTAAGAAGTGAAACCATTGGCATTAGGGGGCTAGGTGGTTATGGTGCTTGGCGTTTTCCTTTAATGTATGTTGCTATAGTAAAAGTTAGCTAATATGGATAGCTAAAAGTAGGAAAAACAGACAGACTGAAATAAATATATGTAGTATTAGGATTTCATTAAGTTATATGCAGTACAGTTTTTTTTGAATTTCCTTGTATTGAATTCCTTTTGTATGTCTAACCTTTAGCCCACTGCAGACATTTGAAAAGATTGTATGCAGGTTGTGCTTCTTTAAAACGGTTTCCACACATACTAAATAAATAGCGGAGTATTGTCCTTCAATAAGTGTTTTAACCCTTTAATGACCAGTGATGGAATTATTCTGTCATGGCATTCTTTCCCTAAAGGACTCATGATGAAATAATTTTGCAATGCGGAATTTTACCACCATGGGATGTTTCCAACCTTAGGTTTAGAGTTGGCTTTAGGATTATGTTTTGGGTTATAGTTAGGATTAAGATTACGATGGGGATTAGGATTAGGGCAAGCGAGTGAATCCCTACACTGAAATAAACAAGGTATTTTTTCTGCTTGTTTTAAAATTAGAGATGGGATTGAGAAGTAAGATTTGTATGTAAAAAATAAAATTAAAATAACCATACAACAAACTTTGAAAAAATTGTGAAATATTGACACCTCAATAAAGCTCAAAATACATGAGTGCTCATGGTGTCCACATTGGCAAATTATATGCTTTTATTGAGTAATGGCTTCTAAAATGACACCAAATGCTCCTTTGACCCATCTTAAATTTGCCATCTGTTAAAAAAAATAAAAAAATTGCTCAGGGCATATTATAAATTCAGCCCTGCACTTTGTACAAAATCTTGACAAAGGTATGCAAAAGGGGTTATTCTGCACTTTGAAAACATAGGTGAGCATGATTTAGTGATTTGTATTGCAGTAGCACACATCACATTTAATAAATAAACCACTAAATTGCAATGTTCATGTCAAAAATGTAAAAATAAAATAATCTAATAAACTTTGAAAGCAATTGGTGCTAAACTTGGTGTACAATAAGGCTCAAAATATACCATATAACATATCCTTTGATGTCTACTTTCACAAATGGTATGCATTTATGGGGTAATTTGAACTGTCAAACCCCTCTAATGCCCCCAATGAGACACAGGCCCATCAAATCCATATATCAGAATTGTAACTCTAAACACTGAAATAGTCAGGTCTCTTATATGGCACTGTAATAATATACACCGTATTAGGTACTTTCACAAATGATAGGCCTTTGTGGGGCAATTTGAACAGCAAACTGCTATAGTGCCCCAGAATTAAACATTAGGCCAATCAAATCCATTTATCAAAATTCTAACTGTAAACACTGAAATAGTCATGTGTCATATTATATGGCACTGTAACTTCCAAGAATAGTGACAACGGCATACATCCGTAGTGTTGTACGTAAAAGATGTAGCTGAACGCAATATGGGATTTTTGAGAAAATGATTTGACTCTACTTTATCTGCAGAGATGAAATTGAAAAGCTTTTCTAAATGTTATAAATTAAATAGTTTAAAAAAGTCACATATTGATGCCTTTCACTTCCAAATTCCAGTTATTCCTGTTCTAGTAGATAGACTTGGGGATGCCAAAGACCAGACCAGAGACCAAGCTCAAAATCTTATATTGAAATTGATGGACCAAACTGCTCCACCAATAGTAAGAGTTTTTCCTTATTTACTATGCTACTTTTAATGGGTAATCTTTCCTCATTTTCTTTATATATTTTTTTTCTCATTATGTACCCCATAAAAATCATTAGATAACAATTATTTGTATTATAGCAACAGTCTATTTTTCAGTATATTTCAATAATATGCAATCATTATTTCAATCAAACTGCACTATTAAATAATACTTTTCTGATTATTTTTTTCTTTATTGGCTTAAACTCCCTTTGTTGTTGCCGCAGATTTAAACTGCTTATGTTAATGCTAAGGGCACTGGGAACTTCTACATGGTTAATCATTTTCTCAGCAAAATTGTACATTTCCAAATTAAATGGTTTCCTTTCATTCATGTAAATACATTTTTTTTAATTAAACTAGTTCTGTCACCTCAAACTTACCTTTCTCCTTTCCCTTCTCTTCCTCTTTCACAATCTGTTCTTTATTTCTGATGTATCTCTTTTAAAGGGATTCTCCAGTGCCAGGAAAACATATTGGTTTTCCTGGCACTGCAGGACCCTGTAATGCCCCTCTCCCTCCCACCCCCCATCCCAAGTTGGAATGGGGGGGTGGAAGGGAGTCCATCGCCGATGTCCCTCGGCGCTGGATCAGGCTCCGCCTATTCTCCTACCCCGCCGGCTGACGGCGGGGGAGACCTAATGCACATGCAATGGCCGAGCACGCGCATTAGACCTGCCCCCATTATGCAATGCTTTCCTATGGGGATTTCGGCGATGCTGGAGGTCCTCACATAGCGTTCTATGAACACGGAGGTCCCTCTAGTGGCTGTCTATGAACACGGAGGTCCCACCTGCAACAGCCTACTTACCAAACTAGAGATCTCTTGGCTGGCATGAATAAATTCCATAAAAATGGTGTTTTCCACTTTGTTGTATCTCTTCTGCACTCTCCCAATCAATGTGCCATTCTCTACTCAATCTTATACATGCACATATATATGGAAGAGAAAACAACCCAGAATTACTGCATTCATCTGTAAATTGCCAACACACATTGGGGTTTGGGGATCCTGGACCTTAAGTCATATCCTGTAGCAACAATTTTGGACCAGTCCAATTTGGCTTCACTGTCCACCTCACTGTGGATGTCCTTAAGTGGGATGCAGAATTTAACTCCAGTCATACAATAAAGGAATGGTCCACCACATTCACAAGGGTAAAGGGGCATCCAGGAATTTAAACAACTGATAATCCAATTGCAAAATAACCTTGAAATCATGGTGAGAAGCATGTTTAAAAAACAAAACAAAAAACAAAGTGGTTGGTTTAATAACATAACTAAGAGGGAGGCCTCTAACCCGCCCGTACTGGTACCCAGCAAATCAACTAGACAGAAGTACAAACTAGGGGTAGCGGAATATTTCCTAACAGACCTTACCCCACATTGGAAACACTGACCCTTTTTCCTCAGTAACATTGCTATTACACACACTTTTTTTGTGTGCTTGTTTTGGTTAGTTTGTGCTTATCAGATCTGCATGACACGTGTGGCCACATTTTGCGAATAATACCCGTTGTATATTGCTACTTTGGTGTCATGGATATTCTATGGAACATGTACTTGCTTTCAGATTTATGTGTCATTGCATGTGTTATCCAATTGAAAACAATAAAAACTATGTTTAGTAAAAAAAGAAATGGGATAAATAATATGTTATTGTTCTTTACAGTGTGTCTGGGAGAGGCTTGCTGCGGGTTTTAAACACAAAAACTTTCGGTGTAGAGAAGGAGTTTGCCTCTGTCTTATTTCAACTTTAAATAAGTAAGTTTTTGTGAAGTTTACACACACACTTATCCATTTTTTTTATTTTCAGTGTAATTTTTAGAGGTTTCTTTTATTATTTTCATGTGGTTTTACATGTTTTGCTTTTTTTTTTCTTCTCTTTAAGCATAAAATAGCCAGTCCACTATTCACAATCATTATTTGTAACTTACAAAGTTTTGCAAGTCTCTCTCTACTGCACCTAGTTACACCAGGGAACATTATATGTACTTTTATTGTGTAGCAGCCACTAGGGCCATGCAGAGAGCCCTTCAGCAGAGCTCTCTGCATGGTCCTGAAAGTAGAGGGGCAGCAAGGAGGTGGTCTGTCAGCTTGGTGTGCTTGACACCAGGCTGACATGTCCCATTAAGTGGGTGGACACAGTTGCGTCACTGGCAGTGCCCCCTAGAATGTCCACTCACCCATCGTGATTACATACCTCCCAATGTTGATTGGTATGGTTGCGCGAAGGGATAAAGTTGATGGACTGGATTTTCTCAATTTACAATGTAATTTATCCTAAAACGTTACTTGGGATTTTAGATGTCTATCCAAAAAAGAATAAAAAGCCAAATTTTACTCATATTGGAAAATTTTGATAATACGTCCAGTTTAGTTTTTTGTAAAATTTTGTCATCTTTTCAGATCATTCATAAAGGCATCTTTCATAAAATAAGCTGAATTTCACTGACAAACCTATACATTTGGCAATGGTACAAATGAAAGAGTAACTGACAGTGTATTGTTCCTTCACCTCAGTAAATGCTATGTGATAGTGAGGAATTTTCATCATATCGCGAATAAAGTAGGTACAGTAAAAATAACATGCACTCAGGCACCTTTATACCTTTTCTTCATGTGCTGTGTGTGCTGCAAAGCAGGGTGGCTCAGTTACATGTGATAGAAAAATAAGAAAAGGGTCAGCGCTAATAAAATTGAAGTAACGTAGGCAGCGGCCCAACAGAAGGTATCCCTCGAACCCTCTGAGGAGAGAACATGTAACACAAAGAAATACAGGAAAAGGGCTGCCCCAATAGTTATAAAGGCATTTTTGATAAAATAAGCTGAATTTCACTGACAAACATATAAATTTTACAATGGTACAAATGAAAGAGTAACTGTCACTCCATGTAACTGATAGTGTATTGTTCCATCTCCTCAGTAAATGTATTGGGACTAAAGTTCTGATGGAGTAACTGAAGGTAAAGTCCGATAATATTGAGGTCTCACTCAGAAGTAAGTATCTCTATAAGGTGCCTGTTTTTGGGTGTAGAGTCCTCAATGTCCTTAGTGGTCCAACCGTCCCGCTTACCTGCAAGACAAAAATGAGGAGACCCAATGGTGCAGTATATAAAAGCCAATATGGGTAAAATAAACAAATATGTACAATCAACTCACATTTAAAAGAGCTATAGCCAGCTCTGGTGTGAAGGGCGTACAGCGGTATAATTCCTGCTTTAAAGGATATGTGATGGGAGTCCTCCAGAGGGATGGTATCCAACACTCAGGAGAGGGATATATAAAAGACAGCCAATAGTGCTCTCAGTAGAATAAAATATGCAGTAAACATAAATAAAAAAGTCATCACAAATGAGGTGCATGCAAACTGCACTGTGATGTCAGCATTGGTGGTATGATCCCCACCTTGGATATACTTGGAGTCACACGAAGGTAAAAGGAAGCCAGCTAAAAAATTACAAATAAAAAAGTGTATTAAAAAGATGATTGGCACAAAATTGTAACCAAAAAGCCTTTTATTAAATCAAATGGTGGCCAAGAATGTAAGTGTGACAGCTTTCTCCCATCTAGTTTGTTACGACATGGGAGGTAAGTGGGGGGTGGGGGGGAAGGGGAGACATGGTTCTCAGGGGTCTCCCCCTTTACTCTGGCATGCATGAATGAATTTGAGCCAAGGACTCCAGCATTCAGTATAGAGTGTATACGTATTTACAAAGGAAAGATGGATTTCTTCCATAAGTCTTATGCTTTCTTCCTTTTTTTTATCCAACCTCGGATTGAGGGGCGGGTTGACTTTTTATTTATTTATTTATTTATTTTAGTTTAGGGGGATCAACATGTTGGCTGCCTTAAGGAGATGGTGTATAAGAATTATTTTGGTCTTGGATAATGGAGTTGGAAGGAGGAGAAACAATGATACCTTTGGAGAGACTGGGATATCAAGCCCTGTGATTGTTTGAATCATGTGGATGATTTTCTTCCAGAAAATTTGTATTTCTGTGCATAGTGACCAAATGTGGCTTGGAGTGCATTTCTTCTGCTGGCATCTCCAACATTAAACAGAAGAGTTTGGAAATAAACAGTTGAGGTGCGAGGGAGTGTAGTGCCACCTGGATATAGTTGTGTTCGTGTGTGGCATTGCTAATGGAATAATGAAATATATTGAATATACGCTTCAGTTCCCCTATGGCCAGTGATATCTGGAGTTCTTCTTCCCATTGTGACATGAATTTAGTTTTTTGGGGGACCCATATCATTTTGGAGGATTTTGTAAAATTTGACAGTTTAAAAAAAATATATTTTTGTTGAGAGCTTGTGTTTCAAAACTTGCATTAAATATAGTTTTATTCCTGTGTGCGCTCAGGAATACTGGTGTAGAAGAGATGTACTGTTTGAGTTGGGATACACTAAAGTGTTGGAGTGTCGAGATGGTTGTGTCAGGTATCAATTCTTCCGCAGTTTTTACTCCCTTAGAGGAGAGGATATTACCTAGCTCGAGGTACTGTGTGTCATGTAGTACTTTGAAGGCAGAAGTAGTCATACCCGGTTGAAACAGAGGATTTGTAGTCAGAGGGTATAGAGGGAGGGGTGGGGAGACACACTGGGAAGGGCCTGTATGTGTTGCAATAGCTTTAGAGTCGGTATGATCGTCAGGTGGGAGGCGTAGGGGGGTTTAAGGAAGGTTGTTACTTTGTTATGCCACGGTATCGTGTGCAATGGCACTTGTAAGCAGCTGGCTTCAATTTGTGCACACTGTGTCTTATTGTGGGAATTAGCCCATTCAGATATTCTCGTGTACTATTGCCTGGTTTTGTGCGTTGTCAGGAGGTTATATGGGTGTTTGTGAACCCAGATAAATGTACTAAACGTGCTCTTTATGGTGTTAAAAAATAGTTTGGGTGTAGGAATGGGTGGGGTCTGTATGAGGAATAATATCTTAGGTAGAATGTTCATTTTGATTAGGTTAGTGTGGCCGAGCCAGCTATATAAAGGTTTGTTCAATTTTGTCAAGTCAGCAGTGATGGCCTTAATCAGAAGGGGGAAGTTTAATTCGTATAATTTGGACAAGTCATGTGGGATGTTGACCCCTAGATACTTGACTGCTGTGTCGGCCCAAGAGCAATGGAATTTATCTTTTATGGCCAAATTTGTGTGTGGGTGTAAGTATTTAGCTTTTTGCATAATTAACTTGAAAGTTGGAGATACGCTTGTATAGGTCTAGCTCGGGCATCTTATCTGCTGAAATAGAGAACAGGCGGTCATCGGCAAACGCTGCTATTTTGAAGTCATGGTCATCTATCCTGACCCCCATAATGTGATGTCTATGATGCCCTGCAGTAGGAGTTCTAGTGTGAGAATGAAGTGGAGTGGCGAAAGGGGGCACCCCTGTCTCGTGCCGTTCCTAATATTAACAGACTCTGATACTTGTCCATTGATTCAGATTTTTTTGCAATGGGTTTGGAATACAGGGATAGCATCCAGTGTATCCAAGTTGTGCCAAAGCCCAGAGCTCTTAGTGTCTAGCAGGAGCGACCAATCCACCCTGTCAAAGGTCTGTTCAGCAGCGATGGATAGAAGTAGGCTTTGTTTTTGTTGTTGCTTGGTCACGTGGATTAGGTTCAGCAGTTTGGTGGTATTATTCTTGGCCTCCCTACCTGGTACGAACCCAGATTTGGTCAGGGTGGGTCAGTCCTTGGAGTAATGGGCGAAGACGGTTGGCTAAAATTTTTGTAAAGATTTTTAGGTCAGCATTAAAGAGATCGGTCTATAGCTACCCCGACATAGGTGATCTTTGCCTGGCTTGGGAATTAGGGTTATGTGTGCCTCCAACGCTGTAGGAGGGAGAGCGGAATTTTGCAAAACAAAAGTTTAAAGCTTCCATAAACGGTGAGGCTAGGATACTGGAAAAGGTCTTGTAATATTTGGTAGTGAAGCCATCCGGACCTGGGCTCTTCCTCAGTGGCAAGTTCTTAATCACCGTCTCGAATTCCACCTTCGAGATTGGTAAATCAAGAGTCTGTTGGACATTACTGAGGAGCTTTTGGGTGATTCTAGAGGCGACTAAATTGCTAATCTCTTCGCTGCTTGGAGGTTAATTTCTAATGTTGTATAATTTAGAACAGAAAGTGTAAAATGCCGACAGGATAGGTACTACAGTGGTCGGCAGGGACAACGCCAGAAGAGAGAGAGGAGTTGAAGATGTGTCTTAAGGAAGGCACAAGACAGGGGGAGAGAGTTCTGATAAAGTGAGATGGGACAGGATCGAGTGGGCAAGTGGTGGGGCGAGAGGAAAGGAGAAGCGCAGCCACCTCTTGTTCAGTAGCCAGGGAGAAAGTCTGATGGGTAGGAAAGGCATGATCTACGTGTGCTTGAGAAATAGAGGGACAAGGTGGGGAGAATTCTTTCCTTAGCTCATTAAATTTTTCTTTAAAGTAGCATGCAAAGCTATTGGCTGTAAGGTTATTTTGGGGAGTTGCAACAGCAGGGTGAAGAAGAGTTAAAGGTGTCAAAGAGACACCTGGGATTGCAGGAGCATGAACTAATGAGAGCGGAAAAAGTTGGCAAGGGCTGCGCTGTATGAACCCTATGAATCTATAATGGAAAAGCCTACCTGGGTGCGAGACTTCCTCCAGGAGCGTTCAGCACTACGGGAGCATATTTGCAGGTAGTGTGTTGATTTAGTATGCCACGGTTCGCAGCGTGTCCTCCTCGAAGTGCATGTTTGGAGCGGGGCTGCATCGTTCAAGGCAGTGGTGAATGTAGTGTTATATGTGGAGATGGCCAGTAGGGGACAGGAAAGGGTAGGGATGGATAGCAGTTGTGAATCAATATCAGCTGACAGCTGCTGGAGGTCAATAGAATTAAAGTGCCCCTCTCCCTCCAACCCCCCATCCCATGTTGCTGAAGGGGTTAAAGCCGATGTCCCTCGGCCCTGGGTCAGGCACCGCTCACGCACCTCCCTCGCCGACAGACGGCGGGGGAGACCTAATGCGCATGTGCGGCAATGGGCGCGCCCTCGCATTAGATCTCCCCATAGGAAAGCATTATTCAATGCTTTCCTATGGGGATTCCGGAAACGCTGAGGACGTCCAGCGTAGTTTAAAACACTTTTTGTGTTCTAAGAACACAGAAGTCCCTCTAGTGGCTGTCTGATAGAATAATTACACTTGCAGGGTTAATGGTGGTGGAAGGAGGTGGTGATCAGAGGGAGGAAAAATAGAGTGTTGCAGATATTAGATACTGTACATACATAAGAGAAAATGAGGTTGATGGCCCAGCTCCCATGGGTGGGAGAATTAGGCCACTGTGATAGCCTGAGGGAGGAAAGAATTGAAAGTAGTTTAGAAGCTACTAAGGTCAAAGGTGGGTTAATGGGAATATTGAAGTCCCTGAGAATTAGCAATGGAATATTAGAAGCGAGGAAGTAGGATAATCCTATGGAATTTGCAGGTGCTGTATAAAAAAATTATAATGATAATAACCAGGGAGCAAAGTGGTCAAGGAAGAGGAGTTTGGGAACCAGGGGGGCGATAAATAACGGCAATGTTAGAAGAGAAGGGTTTGAAGAGGCGAATCGAATGAATTTTAAATGATGGGAAAGAGGTGGAAGGGGGGGTGGGTAGAGGTTTGAAGGAGCAGTGAGGTAATATGAGAAACCCTACACCACTACCTTTTACATTTAGAGTGTCTTGGGTTGTGGGCAAGTTGAAGATCACCAAAGGATAAAGATGCAGGGGTAGCAGTGTCAGAATGGGCTAACCATGATTCTTTTAAGGCTAATAAATCTAGGTAATCAGAGATGAAGTAGACCACAGTGGATTTTGTAATATTGCAAACAGAGCGTGCATTCCAGAGGGCAGTATTGAAGGAGGATTTAGAGAAAGAGTAACATGAGATGGGTATGAGATTGGTGTGGTTCCTTGAGTTAGTACGTGGTAAGTTTGCTGAGATGGGACCGGGGTTTGGAGAGACATCACCAGCTGCTAGGAGCAGAAGGATAGAAAGGAAGTGAAGGTGGGAGTAGGATTTGAACGTTTTGTAGGAGGGTATGTATATAGAGTATTTGGGAGGAGTTGGAGGAGATAGGCTAGAAAGGTATATGTAGAGTGCATGGGATGAATAGAGAGGGGGGGGGAGTAAAGTGGAATTAATGAAGATGGTGTTGCCAAGGACAGGTGAGCAGAAGGATAGGGATATTTTAGTAATGAGAGAAGTTAGTATGAAAGTGAAAAATAGAAGGGAGAACATTAATAGTAATAGGATGTAATAGGACCATATCCGCACTCCTCTATCAAGTGTATGAACCTATGGGGGATACGTATCATGTCTATTCTAGAGTATGTTTTAGTGGAAGGAAAGTAGTATGAGTAGTCCTTAGCGTAAGGATTTGGGATTCGCCAACTATCACAGAGTTGGGCTTGGTCTAGCAAGTGATTAAAGCGGCAACGTGCCTCAGTGTTGGTACGTTGTGACCTCTGATGTGGTGCGTATCAAGAGATAGATTCATGTTCCCCCCATTACTAGTCAACCCTCTGTGAAGGTCTCTATGATCCTGAGGTATTTCCGGAACAATCTACCCTGGTGTTTATTAGGAAGGTATAAATTTGCCAATGTTACCAAGTTATGGCCTGTTTGGCCTTTGACCAGTATTATTCTACCTGAGTCGTCAGAGTATTGTTCTTTATAAGTAAAAGGGATCTGTGATCCTATAAGAATAAGTACCCCTCTTTTCTTGGCTCCAGTAAAGTTATTAAAGTATCCTGATGGGAATTTGCTATTTCTAAGGGTCGGGGCTGAATCCCCCATCAAGTATGTTTCTTGGACAAAGACGATGTTTGCCTTCATTTTTTGGAAATCTTTGTTCGTTTTTCTGGGCTGTTGACTCTCCCCTGGCATTAATGGTGACTATCCGTATCGTGGCCATGGCTGGATAGGAATCTAGTTTATAAAATAAAAGTAACTATAATAAAATTATAATGAAAGTGAATGTCTAGAGCAAGGAGGTGTAGTGCAACCTGTCTTGTTATCACTACGGTATAGCCAAATGGATAGATTACCGCCGGTTTCTATCCCAATTCGTGGGGGCGGGGTACCACGGTCACCGAAAGTAGATAGTATGAGGATTTATGTAGCTTACGTTGTGAAGGGGGAAGCTAAAATGTCAAGGAGTTGGATTGAAAGGAGCTGCAACTTTCAATAATCCATGAAAATTATGGTAAACCCTGAACTATGCAATTAGCCCATAATAGTAAAGAAAATGTATCTATATGTTTTTTTGTTTTTTTTAGTTTTCTAAAAAACTATAGAACCTGTGTTAACTATATAACAGTCTTCATATCTCCTATGAACATCCAAGTGTTATGTCTCACTCACTGGTGTTGGCCCAGAGTCCCTGTGTCCCCTTCATTACAAGGATAGCGTGTATGAGATTCTATCTGAGCATGGGAAGTGAAAACCCTCATGTTTTGAGCGCCGCTGTGCTCTGGGGATTGTCCCAAAGAAGCAAAGTGCCAGAGATCCCCCCAATTCCTGTCCCCCAACACTTGTTGAGAAAACAAAAATACATCCCCACACAGAAGGTATACCCCACATGCCTACATAACACTAGTCTAATGGTAGTGCGGGGTAAAGCATGGATACAATGCATTTTAAATTGAAAAGAAAATTGAGAGGGCAGAGTGGGGGTAAAAAAAATGAAAGGGGCATCATCCCCAGCCAGCCATCTCATGTTACAGAGCTCCAGTCTAGCAGAGAAAATTGCTGTTTAATGCTTTTGGCGGTCCCGAGGCTGTGAGCGTCCTACTGTAGTTGAAGTGAGGCAGGCTGAGCTGAAATGTCCAGTGAGCAGGAGGATGCGAACTGTCCGGTGTGAAAGAGACATTTTGGTGGAGAGGGGGTCAGTTTTCGTGTGAAAGTCCATTTATGCTAGAGAGGTGGTCAGATTTTCATATGGCAGTCTGGTTAGGAGATAAGAGTCCTGAACATGTCTCCATCCCGGAGAGATAATCTGCATTTAGTTGGGTGCTGTTGTCACGGGAGAGGGGGTCTCCCCAGTGTTCCCACCGTTTCTCCTTCGTTTGGAGGCAGATTGGCACCTCTGGCATTGTGGCATTAGGGAGGTTTGGATAGCTTGCATGGCTCCCTACTAATCGGGTATTCGGATTTTGGGTAGATCTAACGCCCTGGTGAATACCGGAACATCTTGATAAACTGACTTATAAGAGGTTATGAGATGAGTCGTTATGAGATGAGTCGCAATAAGAGCAAAGGGAAATCCCCATCTATATGCGGGAGCAGAGTTGGTCAGTAATGGGTCTTAATGTTCTCCTGGCTTGGAGTGTTGCCCATGAGCGGTCAGGGCATATTTGTAGGGGAGCATTGTGGAATAGAAGCAGCTGGGATGTTTGGCGTAATTCCCTTAGTATGTCCTCTTTAACTGAGAAATAATGTAGCCTACAAATTAGATCTCTCTATTAGGGGCTCCCCTGGGTTTCCGTGCTCTGTGTGCACGATCAAATAGTACATGAACTACGGAGGAGAAGGTTGAAGAGCTCCCTTAGTGTTGCCTGCAGATCTTCCTGGTCTGTTTCTGGGAGGCCTTTGATCCGCAGGTTGTTGCGGCAGCCGCAGTTGTCAATGTCATCCATTGTGCGTTGCAGCCCCGAGAAAAGTTGAGTATGAGATGAAACGTCAGCTTGCAACTGCCACACCTGTGTATATAAGACACATCGCGGTTGTCTTCGATGGCGGTAACTCGATCTCCAACATGGCAGATATCCGCACCTATCGCCTCCAGCTTAGATTGGAATGATACTTCCAATTTCCCCAACATATTAGCGATGTCGCTCTTGGAGGGAAGATTTCTCAGTGCATGTCTAATTTCAATGTCAGTGGTGAACACCGATCCTGCAGAGCCCACTTGGCAGGAGGGCGCCTAGCCATCTTTTGGATGACTTGCGCACCATGTTGAGGCCTTGTGTGCCTTGTTGGTGGTCTGCGCTGTCGCAAAAGAATTATGTTTTTGGGCTCCAGATTTGCCCGGGGGATGTTTCTTTGATGCTTGCTGTGAAGCAAGGGATTTTTTTGTGTGTCCCATCTTTGGGTATTGTCCCGATGTATTCGGCTTAGGTCGAAAAATGTCTTGGAGAGAGATTACAGCACGCCCATGTAGCTCGGACGTCGGCTCAGCACCCTTTTCCCCATACTTTTTAAGACTAATAATAAAAAAATAAAAATAAACCTGCCCAAAAGCAGTTTGTGTTAGAATTACAGGTAGTCATTGTTTTGCTACCTACCTGCCTTATGACGGCTCGCACTCACGACCAGCTCTCTCGCAGAATGACAGGGATTCCCTGCTCTGCTGCGTTTGTCTATGTTCAGGGATATTTCCCTGAACATAGACGAACGCAACAGAGCAGGAAATCCTTCTCATCTATGTTCGGGGAATTTCCCCGAGCATAGATTAGAGGGATTCCCTGCTCTTGTGTGTTCGTCTATGTTCGGAGACATTTCCCCGAACATAGAAGAACGCAGCAGAGCAGGGAATCCTTTAACTCCTCACTTCGATCAATTCGTTCCACGACCGGGTTGTAGGAATGGAACTCGTTTGGTAAGTGAGGAGTGTCTGTATTAGAATACATATTGACATATAATTTTTTTTGTCTTAAACTTTATTTGCAATAAAAGGGCACGGCTTGTTCCCCCAACTATTCCAGAAAACCATATTGAACTAAAGGATTGAGTCTAATTACAACAATCTCATTTTAAGGTGGCGCAAGTACAGCGATCATGTACTCATATGCTGGACAGGATCAATAACGCTTTTTGAAGAAATGGTCCAAAATTTGAATGATAATGATTCAGGTATACTTTGCTGGCTGCAAAGTTGCTCTCTAGCCTGATCTCCTAATGGATTTTCCTTTTTTTACAAGCATATAGACAGTTTGAGCAACTAGTGGCAGCGGAGTTTGGAATATACCTTTAGAAGTGGGCTTTGAAATCTCCTCATACATGGTCTGCAGTCAGTTGAATGGGTTTCAGATGTAGTTAGGGGTTACCATCTATGAGGTTTTTTTGTTTTTTTTGTTTTGTTTTTTGTTATTTACGTCATTAGCTCAATTTTTTTCTTTTTGGTTTACAACAAAATATATAAAAAGCCAAAGGGGGTAATACTGATGCAAAGTCTTTTTATATAAAACTTTCATAGCAAAACACATTATATAATAAAAAAATTAACATTGATTTTGCAATTTTGTTGCAGGTTTGGTGTCCAAGAATTAGGCGTCAGCAAACTAGTACCCCACATATGCCTGTTATTTGGAGATTCTAACGCTCAGGTAAGATTTATTTTTTTATAAACACTATGCATAGATTGTGTCTATGGTTCATCTTTACTTAATTATTTTTTTTTCCTCGAACAATTACAAAGCTTTGACTCTATGAAATCATTGACATGTAGGGAAATTGGCTCTCTTAATCATGCCTGTGGAATATACCAAAATATAAAGGTTTTCTCTTCCCTCAAAACAACCTCATCTTACTGAAGTTGTTTTAAGGGCTCAAGTTCCTTGGCGCTCTTACCTGGGGTTAAGCTATATTTGGTGCCTGTCTGCCATAATAGTGTTAATCTCGCAAAAAGCATATCTCAAAAGTTTATGGTTTATCAACATTTTTTCCAGAGCGTATCTTTTTCTCTGGCTTTCAAGCGTGACTTTGACAAAGCTAGTGTTGTATCTGGGTGTTGGAGAAGAAATACAGGCCTGGAGAAAAGCCTGAGAAACCACAGACTTTAAAGACAACACACATTTTGTGAAATTAACAGTACTTGCACGTGTGAGGGTTAACAATAGGGCAGCTGCCTGTCTGCTCTATTATTAACCCTTGCACTGCAATTTATGGTTTAAGAATATTACAGACCATATTAGAGGATCTCCCCTATTAATATGGGATCTAGTGCACTGCAGTTTTGATTCAGATTATGTATCTATTTCTGGTTTGCTCACTGGCTTCTTAGGCAACCAATAGACAAATACTGCAGATTGCAATTTTTTTTTTTTTATGTTTAAGAAAAAGATATTGAATTGTTGTGAACACAATGTACATATTCTGTACTATTCACCAAATTTACAGATGAACATATGTAGTAATGTAGTGATTTGCAATACCTATATCACATAATAATAATAAAAAAAAAAAAAAAATTATTTTATTGACCAGACATACACATTTTAACCTATCCAATCACACAGCAACAGAACGTAAAACTACCACCTACTACCCTTAAAGCGGCAATTATAGCGAACTTACCTTTCTTTAATCTATTCCTCTTCTCTCCCTCTGTCAGGATCCGTTCTTCATTTCCTCCTGTCTGCTCTAGTTTTCTTTAAAACAGAAGACAAAGTAGGGACTATTTCTCTTATGGAGGTTTCCCGATGCCTGACCATCTATGACCAGCGGAGGAGCAAAGTGTGCTCCGTTTCCTGTGGTCAGAGAAAATTTCCCACAATTCTTACTTTTCCTTCATGTTCACGCGATGCATCCTGTCAGTATTCCCGAAAGTCCTTTCACTTAGAACGCCAGCGAAACTACTGAATTTCCTCCTAACAGAATGAGAACAGTTTCTCCATTCGTGTAGGACGCAATTCGGGAATTTCATTCAAATGCCGCATCTTGCAGCTGCTTAGTAGATAGCTCCATAATTCCCACTAATTAGACTCATAACACTGTGATTGGTTGCTTTTCAAATTAAAAGCAACCAATCAGTCAAATTACACAGCATGGGAAAATTCCAAAGAACTTTCCGACGTTGTGTAAAATGACACAGAGCACTCTGATTGGTTGAATTTCAAGCCAACCAATCAGAGTGCTATGACAGGTAAATGTAGAGACTCAGAAAGCTCTGCGCCTAATTGCGGTGTGTGGGAGGCTTTATAAGCCTTTCCCCGCCCTGCAGAGCTCAGTCTGTGCTGGGCCATCCATGGATGAAGATGGATTATTTTTTTTACCGACAGGATTTTTAATTTTTGGCGCTCTGATTTTTTTAATTTTCAAAATTCGACGGGATTTTCAAAAAGGTAAGTTTGTTTTATTTAAAGGTATTTATTTTTAATAAATTCCTACCAACCCCCCTCACCCTAAAAATAGTGAAGGGGGAACAATACATTTTTTTTGGATGGGAGGTATATGGTGCGGTGACTAGGGGCTTGGGGACCCCTAGTCACCTGGGTACGGGTTACATTTAGCCTCCACCCGCCGTTGTCAGTTTAATAGCCCCCACTCAACCAGCATGGTTTGGGGCTCTGGAGGGGGGTCCACTGGCTGTTCACTGTTTAGTAGACATGCCCCTACCCATGGCATAGCGAGTGAGGGAAGGAGGACATGGGGGGCTTAGGAAGTGGCGGGGAGCACTGCTCCCTGACACTTATATTTTTGCATATTACAAGGAAGAAGCTGTGTGCTGGTAGCTCTCTCCTTGTGATAAACCAAACAAGCGAAGAGGTCTTTGTTCATTCGTTTGAAATTTCTATTAATTTATTCGTCTTTCTGATGAGCGAATAGACGAAATTCCTGTAGCGAATGTCCAAATTTTTAACTGGGCATGCACAGGAATTTCACAGCGCTATCTAGTGTGGGCAGATGACGTGTCCCACAGGGAATTCATCTACCCACACAAAGATGGTGGCGCCCAGGACCTTGGTCCGGGCAGAAAAGAAATATATTTTAAAAAAAAAATAGGTTATATGGGGGCTTTAGGGGCATTTGAGGGTTAATAGGAGGACAATTAGATGTAGTGGAGTCGGGAGGGGGGGTTCAAAAAAACAAAACAGGATACGGCCATGACAGTGCCGCTTTAATGTGTCAATCACTCCTTCCTCTGAGCACAGTGCATAAGGTCCACCACATGTAGAATCTACATCATCCTAATTTAGAAAATCTGACAACATACTAGATTTTCTTAACTATTTCTTCTCACTTTCTGGTGCTTGGAGTGGCTCTTAAAAACTTTATGGTTTAGAGGCATAATAGCATAAAGAACAGGATCTAAAGTTTAACTTATTTGCCTCCAACACTTTTATGTGTTTATTTTTTCCTTTTAGGTTAGGGAAGCTGCACTTTTAGCCACTGTGGAAATTTATAGACATGTGGGTGATAAACTGAGAGCAGATCTTGCCACTAAAGGAATATCTTCAGCAAAGTAAGTAAACCGCATTTTAAGTTTTTCTTGATACCTTGTGTATGTCTTAAGGCTGTTTGTAATGTTCAAAATCTTGTGCCTGTCAGGCTTGTGTGAAGTCTGCTCTGAAGTCATAGATAACGGGTTTAGCATATAGCCAGATATATTTTTTGGAAATCACTGAAGCTTCAGCAACATGAATTGAAGAGGAATTTTTAAAGAAATTAATATAAAGTCAGGAATACAAACCTGTATTCCTAACACTATACACTGATCAACCACAACTTTAAAACCACTGATCGGTGAAGTGAATAGAATTATATCGTTTCAGTGGCATCTGTTGGGATTAGGCGGCAAGAGAACAGTCCGTTCTTGAAAAGACAGTGTTTACAGCAAAAAGCCTGAAGGTAATGATTCTACTCACCAGAACAAATTCAATAAGCTGTAGTTGTTCTGGTGACTATAGTGTCCCTTTAAATGTCTGCTGTGTCTGCTGCTAATGCCTAGATGCCAGATACCACAGGGCACACACGAGGCTGTGTGGAATCCAGGCATCAGAGCTGTTTTGGCAGCACGAAGGGGGCCTTACATGATATTAGGCAGGTGGCTTTAACCCCTTAATGACACAACTTCTGGAATAAAAGGGAGTCATGACGGAATATTTCCGTTATGTGTCCTTAAGGGGTTAATGTTGTGGCTGAGCATTGTAGTGCTCCTGTCACTAGTTCCTTACAGGTCCCAACTCCCCCCCAGTTGTGATTAAAATAAATAAAATTAAAGTTTTTGCTTACATTTTTTCAGTACAGAGACTCCCTCAGCACTGCTTACCTCTCCGCCTCCCACAAGGTTATGGAGGAGGCATGGCCTCCCCTGCAATGGTCCAGTTCAATACTCTTCACATGCTGCGCATACATCCAAACTTCCTCGTAGGGAAGTTTTGAATCAATGCTTTCCTATGGGACATCTGCATTATGTGAACGAGTTTTAATTAGGCAATGCCGTGAAGCGTCTGTCAGTTTGATAGACACTAGAGGAGGATTTAACCCCTTCAGGATGGAGACAATAGTACACGTTCTGATCAAAACAAAATGTAAACAAAAACTGGAATTTGCGCTATATGTCTGTTCAACCGTAATTCACCCGCATCAACCGTAATGCACCCGCACTTATTATATATTATTTTGTTCAGGAGAAACTGGGCTTTTATTTCTAATGAACTATTGAGAAACTGTGAGAAATTAAGATAGTAGCCACAAACACTGGCCAAAGTTATCCTTTATATTTGTTTTTGTGTGAAAAAAAGCAAAAAACTAATATTTGGCCAGTGTTTGTGACTAAGTGGCTACTAAAAATGACTGTACATACCCCATTTGCAATACCTTGGGTTGACTACTTTTGCAAATGGTATGCCATCATGGGGGTAATTCTCATTCCTGGGCTACCACACGGTCTCAAAGGCAACATAACCAATCTGGCAAATTTAAATGTGAAAAAAATAAAATGCAAGCCTTATGTTTGACTCTCTAACTTTTCAAAACACCATAAAACCTGTACAATGGGGGGTACTGTTATACTTATGAGACTTCACTGAACACAAACATAAGTGTTTCAAAACAGTAAACAGATTACAACAATTATATAGTCTGTATAAGTGTCATTTGTGTGAAAAATGCTAAAAACTTCACTTTTACTAAAAATATCATATTTGTTATACAAGTTACCATTTTGAAACACTAATATTTGGGTTCAGCAAAGTCTCCTGAGTAAAACAGTACCCCCCATGTACAGGTTTTATAGTGTCTTGGAAAGTTACAGGGTTAAATATAGTGCTTGTGAATTAAATTCTCTGCACTTTCTGCCTGGGATCAAATTTTAATTAATTAAATCACATAATTATGTTTAAAGATTACTTAAATATACATGTTGAATTTTAATATATATACATATATGTATTTAAATTCTATGTGTATACTTGTAGTTCTTTATATAATTATATATATTTACCTATATATAAATATTTGCCGTTATTTGTATTTTATATAGATATAGATATATATAGAATGTCATTCTAAATGTATTTTGTTACCTATATATATATATATATATATATATATATATTAATAGCAAAATACAGTTAGAATGAAATTACATATGTATATAGAATTTATTAAAAAAATTTAAAAATATTTAATTTTTTACATTTTTGTATTTATATGTATATATACCTGTATATAAACATTATATACATATATATATATCTTACATATTGTAAAGCGCTACGTAATCTGTTGGCGCTATATAAATGGCAATAATAATAATATATATGTAATGTCATTCGAAGTGTATTTTAATACTAATATATGTACTTATATTAATACTAAAATACACTACGTATGATGTTACATATATATATTTTATATATACATTTATTTTAAACATGTTTAATAATATTTTTTTTACACCTCCCACCAGCAGAGGGAATGTCTGATGTTCAGACAGTCCCCCTGCTGGCAGAACCACAGCCAGCTATAGGGGGCCATGTGATTGCCCTTTGAGAGCGATCACATGGTCCCCGGGGGCCTGATTTAGAACGCTACATAGAACGCTGTAACGGCGTTAAGGGGTTAATCCTGCAATGTAAACACTACAGTTTCTTAAAAACTACAATGTTTACACTGCAGGATTAAAAGGACAAGAAGACTGCACCCAGGCCACTTTATTGAGTGAAGAGGCCTGGGTGACTTATTTTGTGGTCCTTTTAAACATATGCAAGGAGCATGTGTTTTAAACTGCTTGAGGTATTGCTTAAAAGTTAATCTTTTCCTTATTGTTTTTTTTTTTTAGTATTGTTTTAAGATATCAGGAATCATTATCTTACTGAGAGGGTAATAGAAGCATGGTTTAGCCTTCCAGCTGAAGTGGTTGAGATTAACAAAGTGAGGGAATTGAGTAATGCATGGCATAGGCATAAGGCTATCCTAGATATAGAAAATATATATAAAATTTTGAAAATTGGGTAGAGTAGCTAAGCTGAATGGTTCTTGTCTGGCATCATTCTATGTTTTTGTATTTCTATTATTATTAGCATTCAAGTGACACCAATATACAAAAATTTACTTGGACAAAAAGAAGGCCCTTCTCTCATGAGTTTACATATGTTACATTTTTGAACTATTGAATGAATTCTGAAAGTGAGAATATTTCCCGATATTTTAAAATAAATAATGTATGTGCTTTTTGGGTAGAGAAAACACTGAAACTTGTGTTGTGTATATCTAAAAAATGTAAATCATGTTATATAACAAACTAGACAGATTGTGGAGTGAAAATAGAGGTCTCCTTACTCCTGAGATGGTATTATTTCCCCCATCACATGCTTCATTGCCAAATGACTTTCCTTGATGCCATATTTGTTTTTTTATATAATACATTATGTATCCTCTGTATACTATGTAACACCAAAGAGTCACTAGGTGGCGATAGCCTTGTGCTTCTTTAGTGCAATGCAGAAATATCTGCTCTTTCTGCATTCCCTTGTTACGTAAAACAAGGATTGAAAAGGTGCCAGACTAGCAAGCAGAAGTGATCACGTCACCACTGGGAGGGAAAAGGAATTCGAGAGAAAAGCTGAATTTATTATTCACACAGCCAGGAAGCTAAATCAGCTGAAGCTAACTGCAATTTATTTGTGAAGTTCGGTACCTTGGAATGGTAAACCTCAATACTAGGATTAGGTGGATTCTCAATCAACATATCGAAGAAGACATTTGCATATGCTCATCTTTTAAGGCAAGCAAGACTAGGGCAATAATTTTGGTTTGTTTTTGTTTTGTGTTGCTGTTTTTTTTTTTTTTTAATGTTAATAATCCTAATTACTTGACTGCTCTGAATGAATGATTTTCCTTTGAGGCCTAAGCAGCCTGTGATGCATTGTACTGCATTGTTAGCTTCACTGGCACAAAAGAAGCTAATCCTATTTCACTGCTCAAAACATCACTTCTATAACCGTGCTGCAGTGCTGTCGACTCTAGCTGCGTATGACATTTGCAGAAAAACAGAACTTGGTCCCTAAGGCAGCTTTGAATAAAAAAATAAAATAATCTGAAATATGATAAAGCTGAAATACAGGAAGACATTCCATAAATACTGTATTGGCATTACGATGATGCTTTATGGTTGCCACAGAGGCTTAGTGCTCTTACATGTCTGACCTTGGGTTAGTCATTTAATCTGTGTATTCTTGTTGTAATACTTCCAGAACATTAGTGTTTTTCAGCCGTTGTTTTTTTAAAATCCTATTCATGAACTATTTAAAAAAAATTTTTTTATCCCTTTTCTTTTGTTTTATAAAGTCTTTAAATAGGTGGCACTATATGAATCTTAACCTGTGTTTAAACTGTATGATTTTGATTTTATATTTAAATATAGTAATGCAGACCTGTTTTTTTATTTACTGACAAAAATAACTTTGCATACTAAATAGAAATGATGATGTAGCCATTTGTTCTATTTTTGTTTCTTTTTATATATTGCATATAAAAAGTCATGTGTAATGTTCATTTTTAAATGAATGATATTTTGCAAAGATTAACAAATCCATATTCACACCGCAATAGCATAACTTTTATCCTAGACATATATTTTATATTTTTTTCTGCACATTGACATGCAGAATAATTTTATTAAGCCATGTTCAAGTTAAATGAATACCATTGTTTTTATAGCCACAATAAATGACTAGGATTTAGCTGCATTTTTGAGCATGTATTAAATGTTCCTTTAAGACATATAGGTTTGGACCAAACCTCTGTGTATTTACAGTTACTTTTCAATTAGTAACTTATTCAGGCCAGAAGCGTTTTAGGTACTTTGATTAACCGCTACAGTTGGGTGGTTGTGATTATTTAGGCTTTAATGCTGTATTTATTTTGTGAACTAATTTTATTATTGAATAGTGGCCATAAATGGTTAATTATTTTTTTACTATGGAGTGAGTGGGTAAATATAATATGCTTTACTGTGTTTTTTTATTGCGGGTTAAAAAATGAAACTTTGAACGCTGTCAGGAGAGCAGTCATCTGCAGTCATCTGAGAATAACTGATGTAGATTGGAGACATTATGTTAGCAACATCCGGACAGGCCTTTTCTCCCCCTTTCTTTTTTTTATATATACCTGCTCCACATTTTAAATGTCTGTCTGCTATTATCCATAACAATAATTATATTTTTTTCAGTGGGTATATAAAAATTGTGACCTCTAAATGTTATGTGCTTTTGTAGGACCTACTGAATTAATCATATGAAGAAAACCGATCATTGATTGTGTACTGCTTTTAAATTGGCAATAAGCTATATACCTGGAAACTGATATAAGAATTAGTGGTAGCATCACATACCTATATTTGTTATGCTACAATCTAATCAACCCTATCAGTCCAACAGCACTTTTCATTTTATTACACCTTGCATTTCATTGCCATTTTAAGCATTTGATTTTCTCTTTCCCCACAAAAAAAAAAAAAAACATGTTTATTTAATTTCACATGCTCACACATTGTTGGCTAAAGTAACTTAACACCTACAATGCTGTACACGTTATACATTACTGAAGAAATTCCACAGAGAACTTGTTCTCATTCTTCATTTCTCGGTAGATGTCCAAGATATTTCTCTGTTGATGTGTAGAAATCTTTTGCAATTCTATGAACCAAAAAAAAGAAATCTCCCTCTATAGCCAATAAAGCACACAGGCCACTTAAAACTCAATTAAGTGGTCTGGGTGCCATTGTCCTGTATTTTTAATCCTGCAACATAAAACATTGCAGTTTTCGAGAAACTAGTGAATGTCTTCCTGACAGACACTAGAGGCACTTCCAATGTGACTGCTGAGTTTCACTCAGTCATGTGACATTTTCTGTTCTTATGTCAGACATCATCAAATGCTGCTCATAGGGAAGCATTTGATTCATTGTTTAGCATTTGATTCCCTACAAGAGTCATCTGACTGAACAAGCGTGGCACTTGCTGTACATTCATTCTAGTCCATATGATTCTCTTTGTGAATCATTTGATTGGATGAAGTGTTAGCAGACAGATGATGTTGCTGGAGAAGATTTTTCCAGTTGCATGGGGTGAGTCTTGAAACTGGAAAAAAGGTTCATTTTAATAAGTAAGCGGAGGCCAAAAATCTAACTAGGCACTAGAGCACTATAGCTTTAGGAATACATGTTTGTATGCCTAACAATATGGTGTTCCTTTAACAATACAGCTTATTGTAATTGTTCTAGTGCTAGAAAGGAAAATAAGGTTTAATTTTTACATTTGGAGGCAATGCTTTAGTGGTGTCTCCCCAGGGGTATAAATTTTGTAAATTTGAAGTAGCAGTCAAGTCAAGAAAATGGTGGTGAATTAAAAGTAAGAGCACTTCATGGGGACCCAGTAACCTTTTAGTAATTTAAAAAAGAAAATCTGGTTATTTGGGGTGTGGGAATCAGCAATTATAAGGATTTTACCATGGGACTACACGTACCCTTAAATATCTTATACACTCGCCACTCATTTTTTATCGTTCTTTATTTTTGTAGTGCATGAGAGGTCAGACGTTCACATAGGAACAGTATAACATATACAAGAGTATTATAGTATAGCTTCACAGTGTGTCCAGAGTTACTGCACTATTTTTTTTTCTTTCCGGAAATAACACCATAGAGAAACATCCAAAACATAAACAATATTGATTAGGTAAGCAGTTAGTAGAGACATGTGGTGAAAAGAATCACTACTACAATAGGTATATAGAAGATTAATTCTAACTTGTTTGTCCTCCCTTTAGTGGAGGGTGGTCTAAGAGTCCAAGAAGTGGGTTGAGGTGATGTCTTCTGAGTGTATGTAATGGTAGGATAAGTAGACTACTAAGTAGCGGTGTCAGCTGGGGAGCGTGCCCATTAGGCCCACCATGTGTCACCGTGAAAGAGATGTGTTTTATGGGGTGTAAGTATAACCCCTTGTCATGAGGTCCAATGTGAGTGGTTACCTCTAACCAATGGGGCAGCGGGGTTGCAGGCCCAGTTGTGGTGCATAGTGTTGTGTGTTGCTAATTGCCATGGGGTTGCTAAGGACACACGTCCATCTGTGAGTGTTCTAACTTAAAGGATAAGTGCGTACAAAGGGAAATCAAACTGAACATAAACTTCAACATTTCTGGAGTAAAGCATTGCCCCAAGGTATGGCATGCTCAAGTCCCTGGGTCTGAGGCACGGTCCTGCCCGGGATGAAAGGGACTATATTGGAGGGATCCCAATTCGGGGTCTTATTGTGGCCTGGGAACCCTGAGGCATCGGAGCGAGTCCCAGTGTCTTTAAAAGAGATGGAGCCTTGTGAGGAGAGGATGTTTTTAGGACAGTTCCGTATGACAGATCAGAATCTTGGCACTATCCAGCGGTAAGGTATATCAGCCTCCTGGAGTTGGCTTGTGATCTCCGACATTGTAGGGTAGCTCTAGTGAGGTCTTGGATGACTGGGATTTGTGCAGATACAAAGGCGTATGGTGTCTTGCCTCGTAAAGCTGCCATAATGAGCCTCTTGTCTTGAGCAGTGGAGCATCTTGCTATGACATGACTGTGGCGATTTGTTGATGCAGTATACGCCATCAAAGATAGTCTTCTTGGCTTGAGTTAGTGGTAGGAGGGTGGAGACCAGACGACGCAGGTAGTGCGGCAGTTCTTCAGCTGGAGCAGCGTCAGGGATACCACTTAGTTTGATATTGCAGCGTCTGCTTTTATCTTCCAGCATAGCCATCTGTACGGTTGGAGTTGTGTGAGGTGTGCAGGTCTTGCAGGGAATCCTTCAGGGAAGACATGCCTGCCCTTATATCCTAAATGTCTTCTTCTGAGACTCTGACTCTGTCTGTAACTGCCTGGATCTCTGTTTTTAACAAATACAATGTCTGCAGCAAATAACTTTTGTATTTTTTTTTTTTTTTAAATACGGTAGGTTCTCAATGTCCTGTTTAATAGATGGGACAGTGTTTTTATTAGTCCCTGTACTGGCCTCGGGACACGTGGCTGGCCTCCTGGCCATCGCTGGCGGCCATCTTAGTGGGTACCTGCCTTTGCACCATGGTGCTTATAGCCCTGGTTTCAGCTGGGGCTCCCACAGCAGGCTTCTGGGATCTGTGTCCATTTGTGTTGGATTGGGGCCGGGACTGAAGCCCTCTGCCCAGGTGAGTACTCTGTGTGTGTGGGTTTTCCAAGGGGCTCCTGGTAGTAATATGGTATTAGGACAAGCAGGCCCCTACCTTGCAGCGTGGCCGTTTCGAGCCAGAGCCGTACAAAGAGAGGATTGATCTGTAGGGGTTGATGTCCTGCAGCAGGTGGGTTCCCTTTTTCAGGGTAATGATCTGTAAAGAATAAAAGAACCCATAAAATTGTAACATTCTTCTTGGGGTTTGCTGAAGGACTTTTAATATGTACTAGAGCAGGGATAGGCAACCTTTTTAGAAGAACTGTGCCAAAACGAGATCTTGAAATCTTTTGACGTGCCGGTGCTATTTTTATAAATTGAGCTTTGTATGCTGCTGTATTCTGCTTGTGTTATTTATGGCTACCTCAGTTGCTTTGTTGCATTGTGTTTGTGCGTATGTGGGCTTTAATATTGTTGTATATGTTATTATTATCGCCATTTCATGAATAGTTTTTAATATTGTGTATGATACTTATGAATGTTGGATTTGTATAGGGAATTGTGTGTCTGGATGATAGGACACAGTTTATTTGGTGGTGTATGTGTGGGACTGCTTGTTTGGTTGTGTGCATGTATATGGATTTTTAGTGTTTGTGTGTGGGCTGTTTGAATTCTTTTTATGGAGGTGGGCTTCTTCTGCGGGTCTGTGCATATTTAGCAGTGTGGGTGATTTCTCTGGGGTCTAGTGTGGACAAGGATGGCCAGGTACAGGGCAGTTCTACTCAGTGTGGATTCTCCTTCACAAGCCCTGGGAGGAAGTGATCTGAGATATCTCATTGCTGCAATGTATAAATTGGGGATTGTCCCGAACCATCTGCAGTCACTGCTCGATTTGCACTAGCAGATATCTAAAGTCCCACTGGGACTCATTATAGGCCAGAGCCAGTTTGGCAGCCTGTGGCACCCTTGAAGGCCGTGCAAAGGCACCTTGGGTGGCATAGGTTGCTGACCCCTGTACTAGAGTATCAGTTAGCAATATAGTATTGGGGTACCCATTTGTAGTTGACCCAGTAAATAAAGCCAAGCTGAAGCTAGGAAAGGCTCTGTCCACCACCTCATATTTTTTCAAATCCATGCCATAAGCTTATCTCTGGGATTCTGTGCTACAGCTTATTCTGAGTAATTTGCTCTACTATTGATAGCGATCAAGACCTGGAATAATATGTAATATAAAGTTACCACAGACTGTTAGTGAGTATTCTAACACATGTCTCCATCATTTGCATTATTAGGCACCACAATTAGCATCTATAATACTGCATTTGTTTATTTACAAAGTTTATTTTTTTGGGAGAAATTACACAGACATTAGACTGATATCCCAAGGTTACATATCTAAACATATAGCAGAGAAATTAGCAGTTATTTTGTGTATGATTTATTTTAGATTGCATGGGAGCCCGGCGCTGGATTAAGGTAAGTAACTAAAGGGGTTTTAGCCCCTTCAGTACCATTGGAGGGAGACCCTGAGGGTGGGGCAATCGCGGGCACTGTAGTGTCGGGAAAACCGCTTTGTTTTCCTGAAACTATAGTGATCCTTTAAGTCCATCACAATTTTTCTGCACATTTTCCCCACAATCATTTGCATATCTCTTGCCATAGATTACTCCTTGATATATTATTTAAAATGTTTGTTTTTTCCTGGTTTTCTTTTAATAACACTCTTATCTATGATTTCAGTATACTTATACTTTCATTTTTATTTGTTAAAATTTATTTATTTATTTATTTAAAATTTATGTTCTTTTTGGGGTTGTCTTGCCCTCTTTGGCTATCACTTTCCCATTTTCTAGTTAACCTATCTAATTTTTTTCCCCCAGTCATAATTGTCTTAATTATACCTTACATATGATGCCTCTGATTTGGCTGATTTAAGTGTTTTAAATACCTCCCCACTAAGCCACATTGGTTTCAGTTTGTTTCATCAATATTTATTTCCCAATGGTACATACCGAGAAGTGAACATTTCTAAGATGTGTTTGATATTCCATATACCCTTTGTCACTCAGTGAGTTGTAATTGTAAAGCTGTCCTTATCCAGGCATTTTTAAAATTATATTTTAGCATAGGTCATGTGCATTTGCTTTTTGAGTTTATTTCAAGAGACACCATGTTGTAAATACATATGAGTGGACCTATCTGCTCTGTCAGCCTGCATTGTATATATGTCTATATGATATGCATGGTGCATTTTTTTCCATGTAAAATATCAGCATAGACATAAAAGCTAAAATGGTTAGAGGAGCACTCCAAGCATCAACACCACTACCTCAAATTGTAGTGGTTATGGTACCAGGAGTTGCATGGCACCCCTTCAGTGTAAGTTGTCAGACTTAGACATTTTTTTAATTTAGAAAGCTTTTACTTGGGGACCACAGGGTGCCCCTTCCTACCTACCTACGGCCTCCAGGAGAGCCAGCAGCTCTCTGCCTGAGCTTTGTCCGATGATGCAGGACTTTGCTTGTTTACTTAGAGTCTAAAACCAATCAGCTGATGCTCTCAACCGATAAGTTAGTCCTGTACTGCGGGACTTAGGAGAACAAATAAACTCCTAGCAAAAGCTTCCTGGCTATCCTTGACGCATGGATCGGAGGAGAAACAGAAGCCTTGTCTTAAACGTCACTACAGACACCCAGACCATTTTGTCTTCGTGAAGTGGTCTGTGTCCAATATCCCTGTCTGTTGAAGCCTGCAATATTTACATTGCATAGTTTAAATGCCTCCTTTAGCCGTCACACTGACAGCCATTAGAGGTTCTTCTGTATAATTTGCAGAGGGAAACTTGGCGCATAGAGATCATCTGATTGGTGCAGTTTTTTGTCTCGCATGCGCTTTAGCTTCCCAATGCATTTCTTATGGGAAAACATTTGATTGGCTGGGCTCATCAATCAGGTGGCAGAACTCCTAAACTGCTACGGTAACAGGGCACGAAGGTGTTAGGAATACACATTATTGCTAACGCTATATTGTTTCTTTAATATCTCCTTGTTTTCGTATGATTTCTCTATGGCAGCTGTCCGTTGCAGAGGACAGATATTTATAACCATGACGGAAAGGGAACAAAGATTAAGGTACCCAATTGCAGATTGAAAATGCGTTCATTTTTGCATTCAAGTTTTGTTTCCACACCTTGATATAAGTGATATAAGGGATTAGTAAACATAAAATAAATGTGTGTGTGTGTATGTATGTGTATATAATTTACTTTGTAGCATGAACATTTTAATACTACCACCCATTTACCCGTTAAGGACTTACTATGACTTGCTATGACTGTATAATATTTCATATGTTGCTCAGCTATGTCGTCTGAGTACAACAATACCCCCGTATGTTCCTTTGCCAAGTATATGTGGATGTTGAAGGGGCACATTTGAGACGCAGCCATTCAAGTTTTATGCTGTGTCCATGTTTCATTTTGGAGTGGTTTAGCTGGTTGGTTATTGAAACTTCCCCACAAACACATACTGTTTATTTAAGAATACACCCTGGGGTCATTCAAAAGGCATATTTTTTACACTTAAAATTTATAAAAAAATAAAAAAAAGTTACCGTTACCCCTAACTAGAGAGCAGTAAGCAGCACTAACAGTAAATTCCCCAATTTCCCATAACTCCCACCCACCCCAGCTAGCAAAATATATAATTTTAAAATATTTAAAATCAGATCGCAGTATCTCAGCTCCTGTCTCCGCTCTTTAAGACGGTGATTTACGGCCAAAAGTTCCCAGCCGTAAAGGCTGCAACATGTCGACCATAAGCCCTGGGGGATTGCAGACCTGCGGAAGGAGCCTCCTGGAATGTCCACCCACCGGAGGCACATTGTCCTCCGCCTCTAGGTTTGATGGGGGGCCTGGAGAGATTTGTCCCCAACGCAGTGGGCCAGACAGTGTGGAGCAGCGGTGTATCGCTGACCGCGAGTGAAGCACCAAGCGTGTGGCCATTGCTGGGAGAGACATTTCAGGGGATGACGCCTCACAGAGTTCCTGAAGGTGCAGGAGATGGATGGCCTGTGGACCCTGGGAGGGGGGGCCCTACGGACGGTTTCACTCTCCGAGTGCCCACTTCGCCACAGACTACTCTGCTGGAGGGTTGGAACTGAAGGGGGATCTCAAAGGCCGGCCCTAAAACCTCTGGGAGCCAAAGCTACCATATTGCAGACAGCCTTGCTTACACCAGACTACTATAACTGAATGGAATGGACAGGGGGAGGGAGAGAGCCTGTATATTATCTGCATCCCCTTTGGGATCTTCTTAATTTTATTTAAATTGTTTTTTATTTTCCTTTATTATTTTAGTTTAGAGTGTCCTGTTATTCCCGGCTGCGCGTGCATGGCACAAGGCCCTTTGGAGCGCTAGGATACACTCCCAAGCCCTTTTTCATATTCTATGTCTCCCCTTCTTAAAAGGCTGGAGTAAATTTGTTTATAACCTGATGTAATTTATACTACGCTTAGGTCAGCTCTGTGCCATTACTGGTGAGCAGAATAAGCTTCACTATACATTACACCAGTGTGCAGGCAGTGATGCACCTAACTGTTTAACTAACACTGGAAACCTGTATACGCTCCCAGAGGCTGACCTATGCTATAATTTTTATTTTACTTATTTTCTAATTTATATGCGTAAACAGGATTTAAGTCAATGCGCTTAACTATGAAGTTTTATCAACCTATGCTACTACCTACCTACCAACTTAGCCTACCAAGGCATTAACTTGTAACGTCAAAGTGTAAAGGAATACATAGTCTCACCATTACTTTACTAGTTTGGGCACGTATGGCTCTCACCACTTATATACAGCCTTATGATCATCCTGACACTTATATATATTAGGCTAAGGCTAAGGAAGATGGCTTATGCCACCTTTCCTTTGTATTATATGCAGAAACTGGAGAAATGTTGTTGCGCTTACTTAAATCGTTTTATCACTGTAATCATCACTTTAGACACGTGTACACTCTTCTCCTGTGTGAATACCATGTAGAATGTTATGCATTACGTTTAACCAGTTTTGACATAACCAACTGTAAGCAACTATTATTGTCCATTTCTTGTTGCCTATGAGCATGTATTAATAAACACCCATCTTGAATAAAAAAAAACAAAAAACAAAATCAGATCACAGAAAAATGTAGTCCCTGCCAATTGTTCACTGTAGTCAGTGATCAATTGCTAGGGAAGGGGTTAATTTTATTAAAGCAGTGGAAAGGGGGGGTTGGATTTAACTTGAATTAATTTTTTTTACAGGGTGAAGAGGATCTAAAGAGCGTGGAAGCGGATCTGAAGTCCCTGCAACACGTGATCGCTCTGACAGCCTGTCAGATCGATCACAGCTGCAGGGACAGCGTGATCGGGTGCTCCCGGTCTGCCTCAAATACCGAGGCACACCGGAGGAGCGTTAACCACACGATCGTTAAGTGCTTCCCAAGCCCGTCATGCGTCCTTAAGGGGTTAAAGGGTCCACGATTTGAAATCTTATGCTTACTTATCCTCCATATATAACAAATATGTTTTTGTGATCAAAAAAATGAACTTGTCTACGGGGATAGTCGTGTGTTTTATATTGCTATCACAGAACTATAATATATAGATGGCATATCTCCCACACATGGTATTACATCAGCGTTATTCACATGTTCTCAAGCCTATTTGTTCATAGACCTAAAGAGAAACAAGACATAGTATGCACCTTTAAAATACAATTTCTCTTTAATAAATATGTGCACTTACAAAATGTATGAAAACAATGAAGCATTATACCATTGCCAATAAATTCTTCTGTTCATACAAATCTCAGAAATCCACAGGACTGGATGGTGAATGGAGAAAAAGAAAACAAAACAAGCCCTGTGGATTTCATCTGAAATACTCTGACTTCCTTAGGAGACACCGCATTAAAAATAAATAAATTACTGCAACGATAAACCAACAAAATTTAACACCCAAGTCCTCTAATACTCATTTTCCCGCCCATGTGAGGCAATTAACCAATCTCTTTTCAGTTCTCAGTTGTTCCTTCTTGTCTACTTCCACGTTCCATGCCTCACTCTGTGTTTTGCATTACACTTTAGCACACCAAGCCTCGGTTCAGTTGATACCGGTCCGGACTAAAGGAAGCGGCTAATACTCCTGTGTTCTACCTGTGTTTCCATAATGAAGATATGGTCCACTATGTAAACATGCAATAAAATGCAATCTTGTTTGGCATAAAAAAACAACCCACATAAACAATTTTGTAACCGTATATATATATTCGTATATATTTTTAGTAACATAAACTGTACTAAAGTTGAACATTTCAACAGCATTACACTATGCATATTTTCTCTTTATTTCTGTAGTTATTTTAGTTTTTTAGGTTTATTTGAAGGTTTGGAGGAAACTTATAATCTCTACAGATTTGGTTTCTTAAAAAGGGTAATTGATCCTTATTATATTCCCACTGGTGGTTTGAAAAAAGTTTTTTTGGGGGGTTATTTTACTTTTGCATTGGTATACAATGTGCATATTTCTCCAGATATTTTAAGGGGACTCTGTAGTCACCAAAACGCATTACAGCTCAATGTAGTTGTTCTGGGGCATAGAGCCTGTTCCTACATAGTCAGCAGTGTAAACACAGTCTTTTCAGAGAAACGAGAGGCCTCAAAAACAAAGTAATTGAATTCCTAAACATCAATTCTGGCGACATTGCAGGAGCATTCTTTATTAAACTAAAGTTGTTTTGGTGCTTAGTATCCATTTAATGGTGTATTTCTAGAAATTTGTTATTTTCCCTTTAACATTAGGTGCAATTTTGCTATGGTAATATTCAGAGATTGAAGTAATTGTTTGTTTTTTTAGGTTGCAAGCAATATTTTCCAAGTTTGATGAAGTAAGACATTCTGGTAGCATGATTCTGAACTACAGCAATGGTGAGTTACAATTTTAAGGTAACTTATGCAAAGCTAGGTGGTAGTTTTGTTTCATGATATTACAGTTTTTGCTTTTTCTTGAGTATTTTTTCAAAGCTAAAAACCTGAAAATCAAACAAAAGTGTGTGGCAACTTTAATATTGAAATATGATAAATAACTTTTGCAGAATTATATTTAGCCCTAACTCAGCTTGAACATATACAGATACATATAATAGGCTCATGTAACACTCAAAATGAGCAAAAGGAAAGAAATTTTCTTTTTTTAATTGTTAATGAAAAAGTCAAGTGCACTAAATAATTTTCAAACGAGTCAAATTCACCAGCACATAAGAGTTCAGTTCTTGAATAAAATTGCTATTCAAAATAGTGTACAACAAATAGACATGACTTTTTTTTTTGTGCTTTGTGGTATTCAATAGGTTACTTTAACCAAAAAATTTAGTTTAAAGCCTGTTCAGACTAAATTTGCCTTTGTAGTGCCCTGTTGGACGTATACATCCCTGTATGAAAAACAAAAAACTACATAGAATCCAGTTCCAGGTGTGGGTATTCTACATCCCGTCCATTGGCCGCCTGCGTTACTATATTCCTCTCCCTGGTGCAATCAAAGGCTTCTATTTGAGAAGCATTTGGTTGGACCAATGTCACTGGCCCAGAGCGCATGTGCACCCCTAAACCAGGTAGGGGAGGGAATATCTAAAAAAAAAAGGAAAAAACAAACAAAAACTAATGCATGAAGGCGGGAGGGAGCGCAGCTAAGATGGGGAATGTCATGCCAAAGCATGAGTTGGCATTTGGTATTGCAATAGGAGAACTCTGAAGAAGCCATGCACAGAGAGTCCGGATGCAGGTCAGTTCAGGAAGCAAAGATCTTTATTTTCACCAATCGGTTCTCAGCTGAACTCATGTCCAAAATGTCTGAGCCCTGAGCACATGGGGTACATGCATTTTATAGACTATGTATCCTCCATCTGTACCCTTACACCAATCAGCAAACCGGATACACATGATTACCTTATAGACAGGCAATATGGGACTTAGGAGAGAATGGAATGTGGTTTCAGTTCTTGCACAAGCTCAGTACATTGATGACAGTTTCCTGACTACTTGTAACTGATACATGTGCTTGTATATGTCATGTGGAGATTTTAGGCCTACTAAATTTTGGGCCTAGCCGAGATCCCCTCACAGTATATGTAAGGAGTTGTTTTTTTGTACATGTTTGGATAACCTTTATTGTAGGCTTTGATCTTACACCAGACAGGAGCCATAAAACTACTAAGATAACCATCACCAGAGCTGAACATAGGGCATTGTAAAAGGTATTGGTGCATATGCTCTGACTTTGGGTTCTTCAAAGGACAACATAATTTAAGAAAATATGGAGTGGGCAATAAACTGCCATGCCAAACCCCTCTGATACACCCATGGGTCTGCCCACTGAGAAACAACTAGTTTTAAGGTATATATTGAGGATGTTGGACTATCCAGGGAGAGATTTATTTTTTCAAAACTACTAGGAGACCTGTAACATCCGAATCTCCCACAAGAATTATATATGTAAGGAATTTCTTGTGTTTTCTCCTATTTTATTTCATGGACTGTTTTGCAATTTGTTATCTGTATTTCTGTATTTTTGTACCCAGCACTGTGAATCCTTTTTGTCAGATTAAATGTTTACTGAATCAGCTTGTGTCATTGTTCGCTATGAGCTCACTCTCCTGAGGAAAGCTCAGGTTAACACGTCACAAAAGGGTGATTTATATATGTCTGATCAGTAAAGTAAGGTCGTGATCTTATAATTCTACTGTGTGGGGGGTAATCCAAGACGCCCGGATTTAAAGTCTTTGTGGTGGCAGTAGAGTGTGTACTAGGGTGTTGGTGTAGAATGTATTGCAGGGGTTAATTTAGTGGTTGCTGGGACTAGCAACAGTTCACCAGGAGTCTGGTGTCATTAACCCTTTCACTTCCACACGCTCCCCACTGTCTCGGCTGGGCCAATAGCCCACGTTCGTGACTGGGAAATCAAGGCAGGCACACTCCCAGAGATGCCTGTAAGAGTAGAAGCAGGTAACATTAGTCGCCCGGACTGCGGTCACCCAATATGCAAATAACTAACATTAGCAAGTCTAAAAGCTCTCCATCTGGTCCAGCAAATGATACTGCCGGTGGTGGAGTTACACCAATCGCAGCAATGTGCTAGATATCTGCAAATGCAGCATTTCATATTCTTTAGTTGGTTTATTCACAGCCTAAACTGAGGCATTCAAAGTTTTGTACTAAGTGTAAATCAGAATCTTTATCAGCTCTTCCAGGGCTGGCATCAAAGTCTATAGTCCATTGGCGTTCCAGAGGTCAGCACAGGATGTGTTCATTCAGAGTTGAGAAACAAAAAGGACCTTTAAAAGTAATAGGATAGTAAGGAACAGGAACACACCAGGTGATTGCACAGGAGTAAGTTATGCACTTTAGCACTAGTCACCTTGAATTTTACAGTTTCATTTGAAAAATCATTCATGTACATTACTGTGCAAACATTTTCACAAATAGAAATCTTAATAGTATATTCATGTTTTCAATTAACAACTTGCAATGTCAGTGAACAGAAGAAAATCTAAATCAAATTACTATTTAGTCCCACTCTTCGCCTTCAATTCTTCTAGGTACACCTACATGTAGTTTTGTAAGAAACATGGCAGGTAGATTGTTCCAAACATCTTGAACTATTCACAGTTCTAATGTGGATTTAGGCAGCCTCAGTTGTTTGTCTCTTTATGTAATCCCAGACAGACATCATGTTGAGGTCACCTGGTATAATTGTTTAATCATGCACCTGATTATATGCTGACAAAATCCCTGACAATGGGCAAGTGTACCTAGAAGAATTGATGGTTTTGAAGGAAAAAAGTGGTCACCTCAAATATTAACCCCTTAAGGACCGCCGGTGTACTATACCGTTCTTGTGGACCCGGTCTTAAACGCCGGCGAGCAGCATAGTACGTCCATGCCGTCTTGCCCACGTACCTGATCGCCGCCTATCCCCGGCCAGCAGTCGCGGTGGGGGTGGGGGGGAGTTGCATGGTATCCCAGGCAGTCCCCCTGTGGCTGATCGACGCATTGACGTCTTGATCACATGGACGGAATAGCGGTCCAGAGCAGTATCTGCACGGGGCCTGCCTGGAATAACAGACAGTCCCCTTGATGCCTGAAACGGTTTGTAATTAAATTATATATACCTAGATCATATATATATGTATTATATATATTATCTGTATGTATATGTATGTACATACATATACACAATGTCTAAGTGTATCTTAATATTAAGATATATAATTATATATTGTATATAAAATACACACACACATGTATAATTATGTATATATAAAAAAATAAGTAAAATAATAAAAAATTATATATACATTTGGTTAACAAAGTCAAAACTCTTGCACTCCAACTTTTAAAGTATGATTCTCGGTGCCAGATAACATAATAATACAAATTCAAAAATAATACCGGCAGTCCAAGGCTTTTAGTTCTTCTTTTTATTCCAAAATCGCAATCAGTCAACGTTTCAGCTCATAAGCTAAGCTTTTGTCCTGATGAAAGCTCCACTTAGGAGCTAAAACGTTGACTGACTGGGATTTTGGAATAAAAAGAAGAACTAAAAGCCCTGGAGTGCTGTTATTATTTTTGAATATATATATATCTCTCCAAGAGGGCTGCACTAACCTGAACATGCCTACATTATAGGGTGCTGCTGGGACCAAAATATACAACATACAAAATACACAATCTTACAGATTGTAATAGTTTTATTTAAAAACACCTCACCGAGGCAAAAAATTATGGGGGGTTTAGTTACATTATATGATCATATATTACATAAGCCTGCCACAACGTCAATGTACCTCATTCTTGGCAGGTCCTACCCTAGCAGCCTAATGCTTGCTCTTATGAGATTAATTCACTTGCTTGGGAAATACTTCCTTATTGGGACTCTCTGCAAGTCAAGGCTAAATAAATAGGGTTATGGAATGAGGCACCTGTGACAGGTAGGGGTGCAAAACCAAGGAGTTGGCCTGGACGCCCAAATATATAAACACTAGAGTAGGACCTGCCTAGGTGAGGTGTTTTTGAATAAAAATATTACAATCTGTAAGATTTAAATATCAATGTTTAGTGAATAAGTGAGAGCGCTGGATTGTGTATTTTGTATGATATATAGAAGGCGTAGCCTGTAATTGTGGGAGGGGTTACCCAGCTATAAAAACACAGGCCACACCTCTCACTGGGCCGTTAACGTCTGGTTCAGTAGGCACACCTGTGCACTCCCAAATCACCGCTGAAACGCCAGGTCGCCTAGACTGCAGCTTCTCACCCAGCTGCTCCAACCACTACCCGCCTGCCTCAGCCAACTTCACGCTGCTGGCTCACTTCTACCGTGGGGTCCGAACCGAGGCCTTTTACCAGCAGCTTCCCAGCTGAATGTTCAGCAGCCAGCTCACTTCAACCCGCTGGGGACCCCAACTGATGCCTCCTGCCGCCAGCAACATCCCGTAGCGGGCCCCCTTTGACCCTCGGGGCCTAACCTGAAGCCTTCTGCGGCCTGGTCCCCGGCACATCCTCCGGCTGGCTCCCTTAGTCACATGGGCAGGCTACTTCTGGGTTGGCAGTCAGTAGTTCCAAGGTCTCCCATTTGGCCATAATCGGCCGCAGCAAACAGTGAGTTTAGGCCTTTGGGCCTCTGGCACAGAGCCAAAATTCGGCTCATATTTAAAGTAATTTGTTGGTATACTAACCTCCTGCTTTTCTCCGTCCCATGTGCCTTTATCAGCCGACATTTGGCTGCCAGAACACTCAATACTCTCTCGCCATTTTGGGCCAATTTCAAATGCACATTTGGCCATGACTTGCACACCTTATGCTAGGCTGATTGCCGTCAAGCCACGTTTAGCGACATTTGGTTGCTCAGGCGTTATATGCTGGTTACAGATATATTCGGCCAAATTCACCACACGTTTAACTTATTTCCTATAACCAAGTTTTAACTTTATTAAGCCTCATGCGGCAGGATTAGGAATTGTATTTGGTTTCACTGTTTTATTTATTGGTCATACCTTTTTGGTTAATTCCGTTGAAGCAGTGCGAATTATGTCGTTATGCCTAACTTTTAAATGGTTACTCTAGTAACTGCAAGTTACTTTCACACTATGTTTATCTGCCACTGTCAGCACATGTTTTGTACCCTGTCTCCTCAGTGTATGTCATTATTGCCTATAGCATGTTCAGGTCTATGACTCTGTCTCATTCAAGTGTTGATGTCCATTACGGTCTTATGTCAGTAATATCATTGTAGCACTCTGGAGGTCTCGGTCTAGATTCCTGGCATTAAGTTCTGTTTCGGTCATCAGATCATTTGACTCGGCAGGTAGGTAATTATATCAAGATAACATGTTTTCAATCCCTGTATGTTTACTATGCCGACTTACAATCATCGTCCGTTACACCGCAGGGTATGCTACTGTCTGATATCTATCACACCTATTTTATTGCTTCTCCTTAACAATCAGTAACCCCTCAACTGATCTACGACTTACAAATCGCCCCAGCCACCCCCCCTCCATGTGTGTTTCTCAGGATTTTCATGTCCACCTTGTACCTCAGGACTCAGATTGGGCCTTCTCTCTGCATTATATGCATATTCCCTACGCAAAACCCTCACTAGGCATTTGCAACCCGCTACATACGTCCTCAGTGGGCTACCATGTTCCCTTCCAACCCCTCGTCTTGGCATTAAGTTATATACCATCCAGGTACAAGCGTAGGCGTATGTTCAGCTATACCACAACTTACAACCTTCTATCAACCATGTCTTATCATTTTACACATCTGATATTCCTTATACTGCCCACATATGAGCACTCTGCTAATCTACTCACAATCCTTCCTTAGTGGCATACACCTGGCCATATTCTCAGGAGGTTACAGTATCCCTCATTATGTATGTAATCCTTACATCTCTTATTAGGCTATTGCGGTTCAGCGTAATTTCAATAGTCCGGTCCCGCGAGGCCAACTCTTATCCTCAAACAGAGGTAATCACCCATCAGCCCCACTCATAGTTAGAGCCTCGCTTCAACCTCTATAGGTTTTTAGACAGGGCCTCACCTGTCATGGCCACTTGTATTGAAGCTCTTAGTTGTCACGAGAGGCCAACATTCCAACCACTCTGTTCGAGCTTCTCAAAGCCACTTGGAAATTAGTAGCGCCTCACCTATCCCTGGTTTAGCAAATTTTTTCGCCATTTGGCACTAAGCAAGACGCCAGTTGATATAGGGTTAAACTCTTATAGCATGGCTGTTAAATTACATGTTATTTATTACTTCATACTACGTCTCATAACTAGGTGCAAGCAGGATTTTCACCTCTGAGTTCCCAGACAGATCATAAACTCAACCTAGAAATAGGATTCTGCCAGGCCAGTCCCTTGCGATCCTGGACCAGTCCAATTGCTGATGTCCTGACATAAGGTATATCATTCCCTGTCACAACTCAGGAGCAGGATTAATGATTACCAACCCTGAAATTTGCAGACAGCATATCAGATCGCAAACCGTGAAATCTGACATCTGTTCACCCCTTTATACGATTAGCGTTAAACTGAAGAAGTCAAATCTCCCAGAGTCTAGCCAGTAGTTTGAACTAGGGGCCATAGACCATGCTTCTTTACATGCCCAAATTTGTTCTGATCTTGGTCTATATAAATACGCTATCTCATACGTTCTAATGTCTTTAGGGACAAATGGACCTCTGTTACAAGACCTTTATGTTCCAGGGTTAGGCATACAGCTCTCACAATACATGATGGTATTGCAGTATTGCTTATGGATTATGCCACGTCTGCTCCCTGTTTCTCTGCTACATCAAACCATGAGCTCTATCCTCCTTTTTACAGACCATGACTTTCAGAAGTTAACTTCAACAACTGGCCTTTACCTCTATTACTCAGCCTCCCCTTCCACTAGTAAAGTTATACTTTGTTTAAAAGGACCATTTACTATGCCCCAAAGCACACAAGTACACATGGCCCTACTTTGTTCCCTGGGGGGGTTCTTTATCCCAAGTTTTCCGTAGCCTCCTCCAGCAGTCTAATTTGCGGTGTATATAACTGGATTCAATTGGACAAGTACTGCCTAACCGTAGGCAGAGTCCGATGTACCAGGCAGCATGAAGACCGTCTCTGGTGAAGGCCTGTTATCATAGGAATCTTCAGTCTCCCTGGTTCTCTAAACCTTATCATGCACGCCATACTGTGAGGTTGCAACTACATTATCGAACTACTCCGCCAATTCCCTTGTCATCTGCCACATTAACCCTGCTATGCTCGTCACGCCTGATCTAACAGACCTGTCCCCTCGGTCAATTTGTTTCTTCTTTCTTTCTTATAGGAACAGGATGCCATGTCCATTTCCCCACAGTGTTAATTCCCCCTTTATTATTGCAGATACAGCTGCAACACGGGATCTACTGACATTTTAGGCATACTTATACAGGCTACCTTTCATAGTAGCTGTTGATTTGACTCGATCCCACTTGCTGACATGATACCAAGCACACCATACGAAACCAAAATGACCTACAGTACACCAAAACAATTAGAATTATACAGATTAGGTCATATCACGGCCTTGTTCCGTTGGTGGCACAAACGACACTCTGCCAATATCTGCCGTTCAAATAACAGAGCTTCTCTGGAACTGCAGTGTTTTACATTGCAGCACTAAGTGCAAAAGGGACACAGCACCCAGACCACCTTAATGAGCTGAAGTGGTCTGAGTGTCTACAGTGTCCCTTTAATATGAAAGAGGTAAATTATTGTTGAACAGACTTATAGCAGAAATTTCAGGTTTTGTTTTGATTAGAACTTGTAAAATTGACTCCGTCCTTACGGGTTAAAGTGAAGTAACCTTCCTGACACCTAATGTCTGTAGTCTACGAAATATGGTATAATTTGTACTATCTGAGTGTGGAAATTCACTAAGTGACATTCATGAGGGGCATGTAATTTAAATAAATAAGATATACATTTTGCAATGTGTGTACAATACAGCACATTTTGACACAAGAATGGTTTTGCGCTGCGGATAAAGGGCAGGCTGTCAAATTTCATTTGAAATCCACACATCATGAACGATATAGGAATTACAGGCATTTTTTATATAGTTCTTCACTTTAAGGAGGGAAAGGGGACGGGGTCAAAAGTTCCTATTTATTTTTATTTTTTTCTCTCACCATCTTTGTATTTTACTTTGTTGGCTAATATGACAAGAGAGCTAGCAAAACATCTTTAAAGGACCACTATAGGCACCCAGACCACCTCCGCTCAATGAAGTGGTCTGGGTGCCAGGTCCATCTAGTGTTAACCCTGCACCTGTAAACATAGCAGTTTTTTCCCAAATACTGGACGACCCTCAGTATCAGGAACAGAACTGATTTTTAATGCCACATATCCTGCTTTTATGCAGTTCCTCCATGCAAGGGAGACACCCACAGAAAATTAGGAATTATCCAATCTCTTGCTGGTTACAGTACACATATTCCCTCCCCTTAGCCTGAGAGATAACTTCATTATCTGCACAGTTTAAAAACACATTTTTCCCCAATTCTTAGATGTACCCCAAAACTATAACCTACACTCATATACATCCCTGGATAGCCCTGATCTGGGTGAACAACATATCCAAAAATCACCCAGATCAGAGCAGGGGTTCAAAAGTTTTGTGGAAGTCTTATTTGACCGACCGCACGCACATTTTCATGCCCAAAACAGTTCCAGAGAATTGGTCTGTGCGGCCGGTCTATTTCCAATGTTAACGTCAGTTCAAATAGACGAATGGCAACTGTTCGGGCAAACAGTCAATGTTAAATTGCCGTTCGAATTGTCGAACGGCGTTCAACTACAGTCAAAGCGTCGAAGGTTGGAGAAGGTAAAGTTCACTGAATTAAAATGACTGCCGTCATGTGTTTGAATGCCGAATGGCAGCCACTTTGCCTACTTCGGCTGCATCCGAAGTACCATTTCAAAAGTGCATATCCTTTCCCATAGGATTTAAAGGGGCAGAAATAGTGTAAAATACTGCAAAAAGTAAGGGTAGGGACAGCCAACAATAAAAAAGGTGATGAGTAGCAAAACACAGTCCGTTACACTTAATTACAACTCCCATGATTCTCTAGCCATCTGTTACATTCAAAGAATTATGGGAGGTGAAAACCATTAGGGGAAGCAATTGAGCACTTCTGTACACAGATCAGAAAGTGATGAATAAACATGACAGGCATTAGGGTTGTTGCCATCAATTTTTAAAGGACCAATCTAGGCACCCAGACCACTTCAGCTTAATGAAGTGGTCTGGGTGCCTGGTCCAGCCAGGGATAACCAATTTTTTCATAAACATAGCAGTTTCAGAGAAACTGCTATGTTTATGAATGGGTTAAGCCTTCCCCTATTTCCTCTAGTGGCTGTCTCATTGACAGCCGCTAGAGGCGCTTGCGTGCTTCTCACTGTGATTTTCACAGTGAGAGCACGCCAGCGTCCATAGGAAAGCATTATGAATGCTTTCCTATGTGACCGGCTGAATGCGCGCGCGGATCGGAGGAGGAGGCAGAGAGCTCCCCGCCCAGCGCTGGAAAAAGGTAAGTTTTAACCCGTTTCCCCTTTCCAGAGCCGGGCGGGAGTGGGACCCTGAGGGTGGGGGCACCCTCAGGGCACTATAGTGCCAGGAAAACTAGTATGTTTTCCTGGCACTATAGTGGTCCTTTAAGTAAAGTTTGTGTTGCCAATGCTAGATGCAGTGTGATCAGAGAGTCTCCAGTTATAAAACTACATTTTATACATCTACTGAATCTGAATGCAGGATATGTACCTGCAGCAAAACTATTATATTAATTAGTTTGTATTCTATTTAATAACTGTAGTGTGAAAACCAAATCTCTTTTGCATATAACTGACCTCGCTCATTGTCTTAAAGTGAAACTATATATTTATGCAGTGTGAAAGAACTGTGCAGAACTCGTTCAAACTGTAGCATGATTGACAATAATAGTAAAAAGGCAGTTTGAAGTGGACCCATCTTTTTCTGCATTATTAGTGTTCTTATATAAGAAAATAATGTGCAAATTAAGACTTTTTTGCTGTTGGGAATTTAAAAATGCTTATTAGCTTTGCGTGTTTAGAGCTTTCCTCTTCTTAAATCCCTTGCCATATTGTAACTTGAAAGAAAAGAGGGATTTAGCAGATGGTCTAAATTTACAAACTGAAATTGACACCAAGAATTATGACCAAGTCAGGTAAAATAGTCCCTATATTACTTGAGAATAAATTGAAAATGGAGCACATTAGAAAAAAAAATTATCAGGAAAAATGATAAAATACATTTTATGTTGGATCTTAAATTATCTATTAAAATTGTTAAAACAAACCTTTACTTCTGATGACTTTTATAAGTATCTGTGTTCATGTTTTGATGGTTGGGAGATGGGGACACTGGGAATGAATTGAATACCAGTCTTTTGACTTGTCCAGTTTCATTATTCACAAAGCCCCTTCTTTTACTTTCTCACAGCTGCATCAGAGAGCAGTTTGTGTCTGTCTCTGCCAAGCACAATTTGCAAAGTCTTTTACACAGAGCTTTCTTTTTTAGCCCATCCTCTTGTAAGTGTTTACAGCAGTTACAGTAGCTTCCAAAGGTCATGGCTCTTAGCATGGCAAAGAACCATGGCACATTCTCACATAACGCTTACATGACAAAGGGAGATGAACACCTTTTCCTTGTTAATGCGCTGTTCAACTAGATTTTTTGTGCTGATTTGTCCTCTGCATTCTAAAGGTTCCTATTTTTTTTTTTGTCTTAATGATCCTGGAGTAAAATTAATATATAAGTATGTTGTTTATGGCCAGTACCAATAGTGATACATTTACTTAGTTGCTCTTTCACTTTTTCTTTAAAGGGACACTATGGTCACCAGAACAACTACAGCTTATTGCATTTGTAGAATCATTGCCATCAGGCTTTTTCTGTAAACACTTTTTTTTCCAGAGAAAATGCAGTGTTTACATTACAGCCTAGGGATAACTTCACTGGCCAATCCTCAGATGGCTGCTAGAGGTGCTTCCTGGGGCAGTGCTGCAGGGAAGGTATGGAGACGCAAAATTTTCCTCTCAGAGATGCATTGAGATCGCACATTTATGACTGTCACTTTTACTAGCTATTAGCTCTACCATTATTCTATTATATTCACCCATGCATATTATATACTTTTAATTTTAAATTATTATAGTTTGGGCTTTATACCCTATGTCTATATAGCACATTAAAGAAGGACTATAGTCAGCATACAAAAGCAAGAAAGACAGATCCCCTAGCCTTCTTTCTTGCTTTTATATTAACTTCCCCTTAATAAAAAATATATCATAGCGATCTGGTGTGCATAACCAACTTTGCGCTTCACCAATCGTGTTCTTCATAGAGCGGCATTGAATGCCGCCCTATGAATGAATACTGAGCGCTCCCGCGCATGTGCGCATTCAGGAGCTGAGCTGACTGACTGACCCTCAAACACTATATATAGAGAAATCTCTCTAATGTTTGTACACAAACACTCACATTGAAAATAAATATTGTTAAAGAACCACTATAGTGCCAGGAAAACATACTAGTGCCCTGAGGGGGGGCCCACCCTCAGGGTCCCCCTCCCGCCGGGCTCTGGGGAGAGGAAAGGGTTAAATCTTACCTTTTTTCCAGCGTCGGACGGGGAGCTCTCCGCCTCCGATACTCCTCTTTGGCTGAATGCGCATGCGTGGCAGGAGCTGCACGCGCATTCAGCCAGTCTCATAGGAAAGCATTTATAATGTTTTTCTATGGATGCTGGCGTCTTCTCACTGTGATTTACACAGTGAGAAGCACGCAAACGCCTCTAGCGGCTGTCAATGAGACAGCCACTAGAGGCTTTAGAGGCTGGATTAACCCATTTATAAACATAGCAGTTTCTCTGAAACTGCTATGTTTATAAAAAAAAGGGTTAATCCTAGAGGGACCTGGCACCCAGACCACTTCATTAAGCTGAAGTGGTCTGGGTGCCTAGAGTGGTCCTTTAAACATACACACACTCTATCTATATCTATCTAATTCTGTATCTAATTATATCTATCTAAATATCTTTCTATCTCTGTCTATCACTCTCTCATCCACACTCTCTCACCCACCCTCACTCTCTCAACCACACTCACTCTCTCACCTTCACAAAATAAGTTTACTTACGTTTGGAATCCTCCTGCGCGGTCTCCAGTCTCCGTTCTTCTGCCTGTCAGCCAGTGCCGCTATGTGTCTTATCTCCTTACACTGTCGGCTCTGATTGCTGACGGGCTCCGGGGTTAACTACAGGACACATGAGGCGCGTTCACAGTGCCTCCTGTCTCCTGATGTCACATTTGATGTGTTCACCCAAGCGTGAAGACGTCAAACATGATGAATGCGAATTAGGCAGCCCTGAACTCGGAAGTTCCTCTGGTGACCGTCTGAGTGACTGCCACTGGAGGTGTTCCTAGCTCCCAAGGTAAGCACTGTATTTTCTCAGAAAGTACAGTGTTTACATGAGAGAGGCTGCAGGCAGCTATTGTTCTCACCTGAACAACCTCATTAAGCTGAAGTTGGTCTGGTGATTATAGTGTCCCTTTAATTAATAATAAAATATTTAAAACAGCTTATAATAATTCCTATACAAGTGCAGCTGAAGACAAAAACCTTAGAACAAGTTCATTCATTAGTTTTAATTGTAGAAATGTCTCTAGAATGTCAATCAGATTGTCGATGTTATATGGAAAATAATTTTAGCTGTTTGCAAAATTTAGTATGAGGTGACCGAAAGATTAATAGGACGCAAAACTTTTCATTTTGTCCAATCACGGATCGTTCCCTACTATTTATACCCGGCATTCCCCTTCGATCGGTTCCCCTCTGACGAGCTAAGTGGGCGAAACGCGCGCGTCATGGGCTTTCCAGGGCTTCATTGTACACCGTTGTTGCTATCATAGTAAATCATCTTTCTGATAGTCTTTTTGTGAACTTTGTTCTCAAGCGTGGGTTAGACTTAGGTGCCCTCGAAGGCACGGGGGTGGATGGCTAGCTGGAAAGATTGTCAATCTATACAAATTGAGTAGTTCTTAGAACGCTTTTACCTCTGCATTTATTAGCATAAATTTACCAACGTGCTTATAGCCAAGTTGTAATTTCTATTCACTACTGTGCACTATCGATCTACTAGTAGGATCTTTATTTTTACATCTATTCTGTCTTTCTGTACCAAGCTCTCATTAATTAGCCAGTGCAGTTGATTTTAGAATATCTTGTAGCCTTATCTACATCCTATTAAGTTATGATCGGCTATCTGAGGTAAATCAAAGTCTCCGATCTAACCACTCTCAGGGATACATTTCCAGCCGATATTACTCTACCCATTTAACATGCTCTGCATATATTCGATCTTAATGATACACTTTTGTTGACACTTTCAACTACATTGGATTTTACTATCATTATATATTTTTTCTATCTTAATAATTATTAAGATCGCTGACAGGACACTTGATTGTATCAGTATTTGTGTCCGGCAATCTATTATCATCATATCATCTCATCTCAGGTGCACTCCTATGTCTCTCCCCAACAACACAGACGTGTGCTGTAGTTAATTTTATTTGTATCAATTAAGACATCAGTGTTTATCTCAGTCAATCATTTTGTATCTTTTCTCTCTTTTTTGTTTTTGTTTTTTGTTTTTAATATTATAATTTGTATCCATTCTTTTTATGTTATTGAAACCTAATAAATGTTTTTTTGTGTTTGGACCTTTTTGGTCTTTTTAAATGTACCTTATACTTTGTATTGGGAAATCTGGATACACGTTATTCTCTCAGATCCTATAGGTACACCATTCTTGTGTTTAGTATTTATTATTATTGTTATTTATATAGCGCCATCAAATTCCGCAGTGCTTTATAATGGGTGGACGAACAGACATGTAGTTGTAACCAGACAAGTTGGACACACAGGAACAGAGGGGTTGAGGGCCCTGCTCAATGAGCTTACATGCTAGAGGGAGTGGGGTAAAATGACACAAAAAGAGAAGGATAGTATTAGACTAGTGACAGTTGCAGAAGAGGAATCAGTCAGGAGCTATTAACAGTTTAATTGATACGCTTTTATGAAGAAGTGGAGACTGGGTGAGCATCTAACGGAGGAGGAAACGAGTTCCACAGGAACGGTGCAGCCCTCGAGAAATCTTGAAGGCGAGCATCAGAGGTGGGAGTACGGACAGAAGATAGACGTAAGTCTTCAGCAGATCGTAAGGGCCTAGACGGGACATACTTGTGTATAAGGGAGGTTAGATAGGTAGGAGCAGCATTATGTAGCGATTTGAAAGCAAGAACCAGAATTTTAAATTGAGCTCTATATGTTATAGGAAGCCAATGTAGGGACTGACAGGAGGGTGAGACATGGGAGGTGCAGGTGGACAGGAAGATGAGCCTTGCTGATGCATTCATTATGGACTGTAACGGCGCAAGTTGGGAGCACGTAAGACCACTGAGAAGCGGATTACAGTAGTCAAGGCGAGAAAGGACAATGGAATGGACCTTAGTCGAATCTAACGTTAAGTAGGGGCGGATGCGCGCAATGTTTTTGAGATGGAAATTACAGGATTTGGCGATAGATTGAACATGAGACTTGAAGGAGAGGTCGGAGTCAAAGAGAACACCTAGGCAGCGAGCCTGCGTGGTGGAGCTGATGGTAGCACCATGGACTTGGAGGGAGACAGATACAGGAGTAACAACACTTGAGGGAGGAAAGACCAGAATTTCAGTTTTGGTCAAGTTTAGTTTAAGGAAGTGGGCAGCCATCCAGTTAGAAATAGCAGAGAGGCAGTCAGACACACTAGTCAAGAGGGACGGGGAGAGATCAGGAGAGGACATGTAGATTTGCATGTCATCTGCATAGCAATGATATTGGAAGCCAATGGAGCTAATGAGTTTACCAAGGGAGGCAGTATTGATGGAGAAGGGTATGGGACCTAGGACTGAACCTTGGGGGACACAAACAGAGAGGAGTTGGTGAGAAGAAGCAGAGCCAGAGAAAGAAACACTGAAAGAGCGCTAGGATAGGTAGGAGGAGCACCAGGAGAGAGCAATATCTTGTAGACCGATATTGCGAAGGATGAGAAGAAGCTGTTGATGATCAGGATAGAGTAGTGACCATGAGATTTTTGCAGTCTGTAGATCATTGGATACTTTGGTCAGTGCCATATTTAAATTTTAGTGTTACATGTTAAGTCTATTCTTTCTTAAGCCCCTTTTCAGGAACGAAATTCGCCTGTGTGAATTCACCAGTTTTAATTCGCCAGAATGAAATTCGCCGGAAAATTTAGAATTTTTCTCCGATTGCAATGTGCCATCAAATCTAATGCGCGTTCAAATTTTGGAAACTTTATTTTCAAAAAAGCATGCACATTAGATCTGAGTACGAAATATTTATATAAAGGAGACACCTTTCCATGTAACCATTTTATCACTATTCTTGGCAAAACATTGGTATATTTTGATTTTTAAATTTATTTTTTACACAAATACAAAAAAACTGCATTGGATTTTCACTGTGAATATTATTCTTGTTGTGGAGCAAGTGACAGTCAGATATATATAACAGAAATAAAATCTGCAGAATAAAGTTTCAAAAATCTAATTTCTTCAGTTTACACGCTGTCTGACTTTATTTTTAAACCCCACTATAACCTACAGTGAAGGGAAAAAAGTATTTGACCCCCTGCTGCTTTTCAACATTTGTCCACTGACAAAGAAATTATTTTAATGGTAGGTGTATTTAAAAAAATAAATAAAAAAATTCTTTATTCATACGCAACTCACAAGGGAGAAAGCAAAATCAAGGAACACAGTTCAGGGTGAAACCGTTTGACGTACATATAGTTGTAGATATTTTGAGTGTTAACCCGTGAGTCGAATGTTTGTGTTTTTTGTTGTGGTAGTATAACTACAGTGCCTTGCAAAAGTATTCACCCCCCCTTGACTTTTTACCTATTTTGTTACATTACAGCCTTAAGTTTTATTAAACTGAATTTTATGTGATGGATCAGAACACACTAGTCTAAGTTGGTGAAGTGAAATGTGAAAAATATATACGTAAATTTTTTCCAAATAGAAAACAGAAAATTGGCATGTGGGTATGTATTCACCTCCTTTGTTATGAAGCCCATAAAAAGCTCTGGTGCAACCATTTACCTTCAGAAGTCACATAATTAGTGAAATGATTTCCACCTGGGTGCAATCTTAAGTGTCACAGTGATCTGTCATTACATATACACACCTTTCAAGAAAGGCCCCAGAAGCTGCAACAAGAGGCATCACTAACCAAACACTGCCATGAAGACCAAGGAACTCTCCAAACAAGTATGGGACAATGTTGTTGAGAAGTACAAGTCAGGGTTAGGTTATAAAAAAAAAAAATCCAAATCTTTGATGATCCCCAGGAGCACCATCAAATATATCATAACCAAATGGAAAGAACATGGCACAACAGCAAACCTGCCAAGAGACGGCTGCTGACCAAAACTCACGGACCGGGCAAGGAGGGAATTAATCAGAGAGGCAGCACAGAGACCTAAGGTAACCCTGGAGGAGCTGCAGAGTTCCACAGCAGAGACTGGAGTATCTGTACGTAGGACGACAATAAGCCGTACGCTCCATAGAGTTGTGCTTTATGGCAGAGTGGCCAGACGAAAGCCATTACTTTCAGCAAAAAACAAAATGGCACGTTTTGAGTTTGTGGAAAGGCATGTGGGAGACTACCAAAATGTATGGAGGAAGGTGCTTTGGTCTGATGAGACAAAAATTTAACTTTTTGGCCATCAAAGAAAACGCTATGGTCTGGCACAACCCCAACAAATCACATCACCCAAAGAACACCATCAACACAGTGAAACATGGTGATGACAGCATCATGCTGTGGGGATGTTTTTCAGCAGGGGCTGGGAAACTGGTCAGAATTGAGGGAAAGATGGTGCTAAATACAGGGATATTCTTGAGCAAAACCTGTACCACTCTGTGCGTGATTTGAGGCTAACATGGAGGTTCACCTTCCAGCAGGACAATGACCCCAAACACACTGCTAAAGCAACACTTGAGTGGTTTAAGGGGATATATGCAAGTGTGTTGTAATGGCCTAATCAAAGCCCAGACCTCAATCCAAAAGAAAATCTATGGTCAGACTTAAAGATTGCTGTTCACAAGTGCCAACCATCCAACTTGAAGGAGCTGGAGCAGCTTTGCAAGGAGGAATGGGCAAAAATCACAGTGGTAAGATGTGGCAAGCTCATCCAAAGCAACTTGGATTGCCGCAAAGCAACTGTGATTGCCGCAAAAATCCATGTTAATTCCAGGTGGTGAGGCAGCAAAACACGAAAAATGCCAAGCGGGTGAATACTTTTGCAAGGCACTGTAGGTGGTCAGTCATGTGATTGGCCTAGGGGTGTAGTTAGCTTAGGGCATTTGTTCCCTTAAGTGGGATAGTAAATGGTTGCAAAGTGGACATGTTGAGATGAGCCCTTGCGGATTAAGGCCAGTGAAAGTGTAAAACGTTGCGTGTTAAATGGGGGGTAGGATTGAGTACAGGTGGGAGTATAACTACAAGTTGACTAACAAGTCACATATGGGAGGATAGTTTGTGAAAGACGTCATAGAAGCTTTACGCCAAGTTAGCATTGGTCCCAGGTAGTAGCACCTTGGGGCATCTAGTAGCTACATATGAGGCCTTGGTAGGTTCCCTCGGGATGAACTCGTCGCTGTCTCCGGGTTCCATCTCTGTGATGTTGGCACTGAGGCTAGTGGCTCCAATTGTGGCAGAGAGTCCCGAGGGAGTCCCAAGACTGGTAATAGTTTTGTTGCCTCGTGTAGATCCGCAATGGTGTGTTTATCCTCTCCCTATCACTCCCTGTCCCCCTCCCCCACTGTAACCCAATCACTCCCTGCCCCCCACTGTAACCCCTTCACTCCTGATCGTGCGCTACCAGCGGGTAAGGTGGGGTTTTGATGCTCGGGTTTGGAAGTTCTGCTCCCCCACTGGTAGGTGTGTTTTAACGTTGACCGACAGAATAACAAAAAATCGAGAAAAACGCATGTCAAAAAAGTTATAAATTAATGTGCATGTCAATGAGTGAAAAAAGTATTTGATCCCCTATCAATAGGTAATATAGAGTTGAGATTAGGAGCACTCTCTACAGAAGAAATCAATCATTCAGATTCCAAACTCTTCACCATGGCCAAGATCAAAGAGCTGTCCAAGGATATCAGGGACAAGATTGTAGACCTACACAAGGCTGGGCTACAAGACGATCTCCAAGCAGCTTGTTGAGAAGGTGACCACAGTTTGTGCGATTATTCGCAAGTGGAGGAAACACAAAATAACTGTCCATCTCCATTGGTCTGGTGCTCCATGCACGATCTCACTTCGTAGAGTTTCAATGATCATGTGTAACACCCACCTGGGGAATTTGTGGAGTAGATGGAACCCAATTGCAGCGGAACAGCACTCCCTTACTATCACGACCCTTAAAGCGGCACTGTCATGCCGAATCCTGTTTTTTTTTTTTAAACCCCCCTCCCGCCTCCACTATTTCTTATTGACACCCTAGTCACCCCCAAATGCCCCTAGGCCCCCCAGATTACCTATTTTTTTTATCTTTATTTTCTGCCCCGATATATATTCAGGGCGCCACCATCTTTGTGTGGGTAGATGAAGTCCCTATGGGACACGTCATCTGTCCACACTAGATAGACTGTGTGATTCCCGCACATGCCCAGTGAAACACCTGGACATGCGAACAGGAATTTCATCTATTCATTCATTCATCCATCAGAAAGACGAATGAATGAATAGAAAAATCAGACGAGGGGGGCGTATCTTGGCCACCATCTTAGATGGCCATGTTATAGAGAGGCTACTGGACAAGGGGACAATTTTGTTCCAAAAGTGAAAATTTTTATTTTAATGGACCAATTCTAACAGAAGTTACAAAAAGCCAATCCAACACGGACTATGCAGAAGCAAAAGAAAACTGAAAAATCCGTACCTGGGATGAAGAAAGTGGAAGCAGGAGCTGCTGGGGTGAGTAAGGGTTCCCAGGCTCACTCCCCTACATCCAAACCCGGCTCGCGGCTTGTTTCGCCGCTTAAATTATCGTTGGTGGCGTCGGGGAAATCCCTCCCTACCTCCTGCCCGGTCTCCCATCCCAAGTCCTATGCCTGTGCGGAAGCGACCCGTCCGCGGCTTCCTGAGAGCGGAGGGACCGCGGCCGCACTAGCCAGCACTTCTGTGTGCGGCTCAGAGTGCTCCGAGGACTCAGCATGCTCGGAGCACAGCGCTGTGTCTCCCGCAAGTGGCATGGGGGGGGGGGCCTCTGCTGTCCGACCCAAAACATTTAAAGGCGCAGTAAGGGCTATAGAAAGCCCAGAAGATAATTCTATGGAAATAGGGGCTGAAGTGCTCCAAATAAGTACTTTCCCTGCACTACCACAGAGAATACGTCATGATGCCACAACAAAGATGGCTGCCAGCCCAGATATTGTATGTTCCACTCCCAAGATGGCCGCTGCCACCTCCAGTATGGCTACTACCACATTTAAAGCAGCGACCTACAATCCTAATATGCCACCTGAATTGGCAGAAGACCTGCCACCGTCAGCTGGCATGATAATTCAACTCATTAAAGATTTGAGAGTTGATTTGAAAAACGATTTAAAAAAAGACTTTGACGCATTATATGGTGCCATGGAGGGCATTAACCAGCGTACGGAAATAATAGAGAATAGATTGCACTCTCAAGAGCAATCTCACCTGGATCTGGTTGAAACCGTAAAAGAGCTCCAAAAGCAAGTGCACCAACAAGCAGAAAAGTTAGCCGACGCTGAGGATAGAAGTAGGCGTAATAACCTAAGGATCAGGGGGATCCCTGATAATATCGATTCTCAGGAATTACAAAGCTATTTCCAGACAATGGTGAAGTCAGCTCTACCAACCGCAAAAAATACGGATTTACTACTGGACCGCATCCATAGATTGCCCAAACCCGGCAATGCACCTGCGGCTGCACCCAAAGACGTGAGATTCCACTACTACCACATTAAAGAGGAATTTCTTGGTGCAGTACGCACGTCAGGTCTCACAGGAGATTACAGCGGCATGAAGGTCTTCCAAGACTTCTCTGCTCAAACAATGAAGCGACGCAGGGAATGTCAACTTTGAATTTTGACTTGTTTCTCCTTTTTATGACAGACTTTTGAGTTTTCCCACCAACGGTTATTTGACCTGTGCCTTTATGGTTTATTTCAGAAATTCGTTTACTTAAAACTTTCTAAATTTATGCAATCAAAATAGTTTTTTTATATAATTTCATATTTATTTAATTTTATTTATTTTTTTATTGTTCTGTCCTTTTTGTCCTTTCTAATGTCATACTTAAAAAGTTGCTTTTTTTTTTTTTACTATTTATATTGGTTCTCCTTGTATCCAGTAGCCTTCTCTCCCCCAACCTGGGCCTAACATCCTGAGATGGAGAAACTTTTTTTGTTCTCCCTCATGGCCCTCTTTCACTGTTTTTGTTTCACCCCTGATAGGGGTATATACCCAAGTTTTTTGTTCCCCTTCTTTATTTTTCTATATTTTTTGTCCATTCATTATTTAAAGTTCAGTAGAAATGTTTCTAGACCACGAAACACTGCAATGCTTCATACAAAAATGCATACTACGTGGCATCAGCAACTTGTAAAAATCTGTTTATTCACTATCCCTGTACACACAAGTACACAGCTTGAGTTTGCTTTGACAGTTTTTTGGACTTGCATGTTTCTCTCTTGGAAGGCGGTGGCTTGGACTCACAAAATTGAATGTTCTTTTACCCTTTACCAGGTATTACTGTTCCATAAACCATGGTTTTAAAATATGTCATTTAATGCGAGAGGCCTGAACACCACCCACAAGAGACGATTATTATTCAAAGAACAAATTAGATGTGATCTGTGTACAGGAAACACATTTTAAAGATGATAAAGACCATAAAATTATGTCAAAGCTTTTCCCAGTCCAATACCATTGCACTTATAAATCCAAGTCTAGAGGTACATCGATCTTCTTTCACAGGAATGTAGCATGTTTGACAAACAAAGTAATAACGGATGATGACGGGAGGTATTTAATATGGATAGGATCACTCAATACTATTGAATATACTATTGTGAACATGTATTTTCCAAACACAGTTACAGTTTTTTAGGAAATTGATGGACTTAGTGAATGAGAATGTGAGCGGCAGCTTGGTAATGTGTGGTGACACGAATTTTGTTATGGATGGAGAATTGGATAACGCTAGGAAAAAACGTGATCGACAGCTTAGAGGGGACAGTGACAGATTAGCGTATAAATGCTCCAGATATATGATTGAATGTGGCTTATACTACCCTTGGAGACTGCATGAGAATGAAAGAGATTTTACGTATTTTGTCTCTAAAAATATGTATTCCAGGCTGGACCGGTTTATGGTCCAGGGTGCTTTAATTTCGCACATCTTGAAATCTGTTATCTTAAACATCAACTGGTCCGACCATGCTCCAATCATAATGTATATTGACGAAATTGTTTCATCAGCCCCTAACAGAACCTGGAAATTAGGTGATTATTTGTTAAATGATGTTGTGAACTGACGGAGAAAGCTTTGTGTGATTATTTTTCGGAGAATGCCTCGTCCGAGGTTCCTGGCGAGGTGACTTGGAATGCGCATAAGGCTGTGTTAAGAGGTCATTTTATTTCTAGAGCGTCTCATCTGAAGAGAATTAATAGCAATAATTTAAGAACATTGGAAAAGAATTGTACAATTTGAACCAGGCTAATACATTTGGTCCATCGTCCTCCCTATCAGCAATGATAGGAGAAATTAAGGCTAAAATGAACAAAATTAATTTAGATCGTACATCTCTCATGGTGAGACGTCTCAGGAAAACATTTTACTTAAAAGGCAACAGGGCCTCAACTCTTTTGGCATCCAAACTCCGGCAAATATGCTATCAAAAATAGCATATTTACTTGATGATCAGGGGCGAAAAGTGTTTCATCCAACTAAAA